TAGGATCTCTAGTCCCGCCAACAACATGTAACTTCTGTGAATAAAAAAAAATGTTTATCTAATTTAAAAGTCACTGTATTCATTAAGCAACATCACACCACATCTGACATAAGTATCGTAATATTTATGATCGGGTGTAAAAAACAGTTACAATTACAACGCTCTTCTTTAGCTTCGAATTTCAAAAGTAATCATTTTTGCTATTTTTTCATTTACAAAATAAGATTTTTCAACATTATGCATTCTGTTTCCGGTTCTCTGCCAACAACGAGGGTATACCACAAAGGGGATCCTTTGTGACCCTGAATCAGTTGAAATACCAATTGACTCTCTGGTAGTGCCTCGTTTTCAGACGACCTGGCGTGGTTCACAGACAGGTCGATGCCGCTTATAGCTTCTGAACTTGGCTTTAGAATTCTTCATTTCAAAAGGGAAATGCGGGTGCACGCAGTTATAATGTGCGTGCCTCTCTTCTCGACTACGACTAATTCCAAAGGAAAATCTTCGAATGAAGGGAAGTAGGACGCAGAATAGGAGAACACAGTACACGCTGAATGCCGTAGCAGTAGTAATAACGGAGAAGCGATGGCAACGGATACTGCGGTCCCTCGATGGGTGGAAGGGCACCGTGTTCATGTTCGTAGGCGTTCTTGTTAATCGTCGCTCTTGTCTAGTATCTTGAGTACGAGATTTGTTTTATCAACTCCCAACAGGAAGTGGTAAACGTTCGGTTTCAAGGTTGCCCCTGGCCGCATTGGATATAAACAGGGTATCACGTTTGATTATTTTATAAGTAAGGTTGGCCGCTGCACCATTTTTTCATAGCTGCATCATTTTTGTCCCATAGCACGTGAACTAGGCAAGACAAAATAACAATTACTTTTTACAATGATTCAAATTCGCATTCTGTCTTGAAAAACATCGACAAACCAAGAAAACAGATCCAGTGAGGTTACGTTTACTCTTTCGAAGCTGAATATGCAAGCTAGAACAAAGGAAAGAATGTTTTGACATTTTTTTTTTGTTTGACATTTCGGCCACTTGACAAGAATCTAGTTAACTTGAGGTACTAAAGCGAACTTAATAACTGAACGTCTTTAATACCTGAAAAACGTTTGCAGGTGTTATGTCCTAATTGTATGTCGTCTTTATTGTTACGTCACTGACAATTGCATTAGTCTTAGCCGACTTTTCACAGAACAGAACTCATCGGAAACTCTGATTTCAAGGAAGTTCTCATATAGAACCTTGAAGCAAAACTTCCTTCGGAGTTTGGTGATACTTTTACTGACGAGATAATACAGCTCCACAAAGGCTAAGGGTTGTTCTGTAAATGCAATTAACGATACAATCGTCGATGTAAGCCCATTTGTTGTGGGACTACAAAGAACAGCTGAAAAGGTCAAGTTATTTATAGGCTAAAGTCATTAAAATAAGCTGGAAAGATTGTCACAAAAGTAAATAGTTGCCGCTGACGATAATAATTTTAACCTGTGTGCATTGTAGGTTCAGGTTAGTGTCATGGAAAGGCCGGCTTTTGTCAGAGAAAGAAGCTTCCACCTCAGGAGTCATGTTTTTTTGTCAACCAGATCTTAACGAAGCACAATGAGTACACTGACGACTCACGTTATTTTTATTAAAGAATTATTCGGCCACATCAAACCTTGCCACAGCAAACAAACAAACAAAATGACTATACGTCAAAATTATTTACTTACAGAAGAATTTACTACCGCAATTTTCCATGTGACAAAGATATTAGCATCATAGAATCAATTGTCTTACAAATAAATTGTAGCTGTAAAATGATTGGAATGAAAATACTTTTTAAATTTCAATGTTTTGGTACAATAAGTTTACATCTATATCATGGCGAACCAACAGACGATGACACTTCTAATTCGGACAAAATCCTCGGACAAGCTGTCCAAGACGTCCTGAAGACAGAGTTGCCATAAGCTTAACTTATATTTGCACTTGAAGATCAATACGCTGAATATCGAATGTGCCAGAATGAACATAGACACTCGTCCTGGTTTGACTGGCCAGGACCTATGAGAGAAGCAGTCATAACTGAGGATCTCGTCGGACCTCAAAGTAAATAAAGTGTTTCATCGGAATTAAATTTGGCCAGTACACCTTGCTTTAATCATTTCCTAAAGTCAGTGTTACCTCTAGCAGGGATAAGAGAAGATATCTTTGCTATACTACAATGAGTTGTACTGTAGTCGTCGTATTAATTTTGCTTAGAAAGCTGTCATGTAGCGATCCTTTTAGCTCCGTCTTGGATTAAGTATTTAACCAGGAGACACCTGTATTACGTCTTAGATTTCCTTTGTCAATCACGGCGAGTAAGCAAGAGTAAGACTATTAGCTACCACTCGTCCAAAATACAGCGCTACTACCATATATACGTGTTACCCTAGCAAAGAAACTCTGGCCGGTCTCTCCGAATCGACATTGTTATGACCGCTTCATTTATCGACTATCATTTATAGATTATCGGTGCATTAACGGCTATCGTAGGTTATACCCTGCCAGGAACCAATCTTGAAGGACAATAATACGGTTGATTAGCATAGCGCCTTGCTAAACGAGCTCAATAGCTCAAACGTTCACTCGGCAGTCACCATGTACACAAAATCCAAGATTTATTTTTTGTCGAATTACCAACACAACTACCGCATGTCTCGCGAGTCAACGAGAGTCACCGAAGCCTCCAATCAATTTATGCACTATATAATTAAACCCGTAGAAAATGTTCCAGAGTCTTTTTTAGTGACTTTAGAGGTAAACAAAGTCTGCAGTCATTATCTTACTTCTTCTAGTAAAAAAGAATGGCGCATTTTTCCTTTGGAACGCTCACCACGGCTTAGCCGCATTTTAACAGGCAATTAGAGCTGAGTAATTAGACATACATGTACAAGTACAGCAACGTGTTCAGTTATTCTACAGTACCTAGACAGAGTTGAATAGGAAACAAGAGCGATATATGACAATCTCAGACTAGACTGTATCTATAAAGGATTGGCGGTAGAGATGACTGAATTTCGACATAGACATTGCGGACACTTACTTAGCGTATAGATCAGAAACATTTGCAGTTTTTACAGGCGGAGTGCGTTGTACTCTGCACCCGCGTCGCCAGCGTCGACCGGGATGCCGGAAACTCAACGTGTCCTTCTGTCCTAATGACCTTGCCTGAGATGATACGATACATATCACACACATATATGTGTGCGCGAGCATGCTCTGACGCCATAGACGAGTAGTCCAGACGATAGCGCTTAACGATTATATACATGTATGTTATGGTATGTCGACACCTCTTGTTGAGGGGAACGAAGGATCGCTATATCATACAGTAGACGGTTACTTACAATATACGTATACGGTAAAAGCGGCCGTCCATCTAATCTATCATCTGCATGATATGGACGGATTATGCAATAGCATAATGTGTAGCATGATAATGACTCGGATTCAATTCGCTGTGAGGATCGAACAGGTTTTTTCGTAAAAGTATTCCTCCCGTACATCGATGCTGTAGTATTTCCAACGTTCGTATGTATAATGGCAAGAAGCGACTAGTGGCGACGGGCATACACGACGCCATTTCTACTTCTTTAATGGAATTGTGCAGCAAATGTTTACAATTTGCCTATTAAATTATAGCTCCGTCGAATAAATAATCTATGTAATAGTCAATCGCAACATCACACACCTCCCTATTTAATCAACGAGAATTGTATTGTTCTATTTCCTGAAAACAAATGTTACTTCATCTTGTCGCATTTGTTCGGGCAATTGGAATCATTATTCGTTACGATTGGGGGGACAATATGGACAGACTCAAAAATGCAAAGGACTAAGTAAAATATATTGAATGCAAACCTTAACCTAACCAGTATACACAACATTTTATATATAGTATACAGGCCGCAGCGAGCAGTTTCTCTGATCGGGGCGACGTTCGCTACTGGGCGCAGCTAATCTCTCGGGCTTCAAAACTTCCACCTAAAAGCTTTCACATTGCAATTTAACGTATACAGTATAACTTACGTAGGTCACAAACAAGAACGGGAAGGTAGTAGCTGGAGCGCTAAAAACCTGTTTCAACTACCATTCTATGCAGATAGCTTTGCCGAAAGAGCAAGAACGAGAGAGGCCGGAAGACGGTCGGTCATGACGGAAAAGCCATTTGTCTGATGGTCGTAGAGGTAGAATAGTATTGTCGGTGCCTTGATCGAGTGATCCTGAGAGCTTGTCTCTTACCCATATAAAAGTAACTGCATATAAATGGATCCAGCTGTCACTGCATGCTCTAGCAACGTAAGAAGCACCTAGGAGCTGCCTTAGGGGGCCGCAATTGCCCTCGTTTCGAAAGCGAGATCCATCGTAAGCCTATTACACAGCGGGCATCGCTTGAACCATTTGATCCGACGCCTGCTTCCAATAAAACTAAGACGAAAGAACAAGGCGGCGCCATGTTCTCACTGGTCGGCGGCGCTGACGAGGACATCGAAGAGAAAGGAAGACACCAAGGGGGGAGGGGATGGCGAACATGTATCGGTGAACGTAGATAGGCGGGACGGTGAATGCCCGATGAGAAAGGTCAATCAAATTCATAACTATTAACGAACTCTGAGAGGAGGTGCATTTCTCCCACTTGCTGACGACAATCTATGTGTTTGAAGACAAGGGAACAAAGAAGCACCACTATGGTCAGAGCAAGCCGATCGACCTATAGGTATGAATCCACGTCAACGAATGGATTCTAGACAACTTTCTGCTCAATCGCTTTGTGGTGATCTGAAGCTTTAAATAACAAGCTTATGCATATAATAAAGAAATATTATAGCATAACTAGGCTGGCATGTACATTTGTGATAATTTACTTCGTTGGTATCTTCAGCTTGCCTCTTTAACTCAGAATAGAACTGTACACTAGTTTGCGATGACGAGTTTTTCCCCGTTTTTATTATATATAGTTGATTAAAAGTCATGGCCGATGGTTGCATATTTCGTTGTTTACGCTCGATCAATATTTTCTAGAGTCTCAGTTATCTACGTTTTTCTTTTATCTGATGCATCGAGCTGCAATTAGCTGTAAGAGATAATTAATATTTTCGTCCCATTCTGCATTACTTTAACGCTTGAATCGATCTCGTTGCCCAAATGAGTAAAAATGGACACGTGCTATCATATATTTTAACATGAATAGGGAAACGTGTCGGAGGATCCGTCTACATGAAACTATATGTCTATATTTATCTTTATGAATAGTTTAAGTTAATGTTTATGGGCTGAACAGTATGGCGTATTGGGTGTATAGTACATGTGCTTTTCCGCTGTTCTATTGTAGTTGATCCTGGTCATACGTGACAGCTACTCCAATAAGTAGAAAAGGTCTGAGGGGCACGCTGAGGAGCTCCACGGTTGAAACAGGGCCGGGGAATGTTGGTTCACCTCACACTGAAAACATTATAACGTACTTAATATAACTAGGTAAAAGGGATAGGTACTAAAAAAACATTGGCTGCGATATTCACTCATTTTTCTCTCACGCTATAAAAGCAACTATATAATTGCAGGCTGATTTCAGGTTGCTGTCGTGTAGTAATGTACCGATACAGTTATCAGTATAAGACGAACTGCCTAGATAACCTACAACCTGCAGCCAAATCGTCCTAATTCACCCTATCCTTCGAACATTTTCTATTTAGATCATTATGATCCTGCAACATTGTTCGGGTTTTAGTAGGTCTATATTGGCGCAGATTGACAAATGAGGCAATGATACCTACTACACTGCCCCAACTTAGTACATCCATCAAAAAACGACCTTCAACTGTAGTGGTGTGTCCGTCGTGCGGCAACAGAGATTCTGAGCCATAAATTTGTTCTCGAACGCCGCTTCGACCCCCTATAGTTGTTCCCTGAATTAAATAGCTTTTTGGGCGTTCTAGTGCTGCTATTGCTTCATATTTAGACGATGAAGACGCTGCTCGCGATACGCGAGCGTTTGTCGCATGTTATGCTGACCGGACGATGTGTAGTGTAATATCCTGCAAGCGTGCTTGTATATTCGGTGTACGTCCGTCTACCTGTCAGTCTGTCATTAAAAGGTTACACAATAAGACGAAATGTCTTCGTTCGTACAACGAACACGCAGGTGACGATGATCACGATGTCCTTCGGTGATATATGGCATGCACGTCAAATTGACCATATATTAACGTATATAGGATATATATATGAGTTCAAACCTACTGTGAAACAATAAGCAACCTTTGAGCTATAACAATTGGCCGAGGTCAATGCCAGGAAATAGTTCAATGTATCGTTTTTTTTTTCTTTCAATAAACTCTCAATGAAAGGGACAGCTCAATGAAAAGAACAAATGCACTTTTTGTCGCTATTGATCTCAATCGCTTGCTATTATTCAAAGATAAACAAGCATGTGATCCTTGTATTCGGGTCAGGCTACTCCCTTTGAACACTAAAGTTAGTCCTTTTTTTCGTTATTTTGCGACCATTTTTGAGTAGTGATCATCAAATACAATTATTTTCATAGCTTTTTAGTTCGATATCAGTAATTATAATAATTTGCTCATCACGGGGTATACTGTGGCGGTACACAACGGCATGTATAGCCTATCCTTCTGTTTGACAGTATTATCTTGAATCTCAAAGCTGGACTAGGTTAAGCGTAAGCAGCTACGAGGCAGCTGATCGAGCCGATTCGCAGTATTCTCTTGCGCATCGCCTACCACTATATATACTTTTGTTGTATATGCAGAGAGGTTGCAAGACATATTTTACATGTTGTTGGTCAGAATAACCATTCAATTTGATTCAGTTTATGTTTTTGTGTCGTTGATATTCATTAGCTGCCATAGCTACTTTTATGGACCCTTTTCCGGTGTCCTCTCCCTCTTCCTCTTCCTCCTCTAGACTCTCTCTCTCTCTCTCACTGTTTTTTCCAGAAACCGAAAAAGGGGGCAGAAAATGGGTTCTTTTCTAGGTTAAGAGTCGCGTACCGTTTGTTAGTTGGACGCTTGTGACAGGCATCACATTAGAGGGACCCCTCACGTTTGTTCCGTCACTGTGTGCGGGATGTCGAATCAGCAGTAAGACTTTTGGCCCCCCACGCTTTTTCCTTTTGTCGCTGACGCACAGATACACCCTTCACTTACTCAATACGCGGCGAAAGAAACGTTCCGCTGATTCTGACTGCTATACCAATAGTCGTAGTGAGATGGCAGCCAGCACCTATTATCAGTGAAAAGAGAATAGAATTTTCTCAAGACCACCTAGATTGACAAACAGACGAATCAACCTGCCTGCTCCTCCACGTGCTAGAGTTAAGCCTAGAAAAATGCAGGATTCGGGTTGCAGCATGTTAAGGCGCGTCACGGCTGACTCCACCTTTTACATCACCATCCATAGTTGTTGTTGTTTTAGTAGAAGTTTATAAAAGTGTAATTAGATCGGTCTCTTACTGTGCAGTACAATCTGAGTGAGCAACGAAATTTTCCAGACAAAATTGTAAAAGCTAAATATCGGGCAGGATGTAGTACGTACATGTAGGGGCCGTCTGCCTTGTAGCAGTAGACTTTTCTCCATCAATATTAGGCGAAGCACTGCAGCAACAAACAGGGACGTTCAGAATACGCTCTCTGCATGTTTACAGTTAATAAAAACATTTCATTATATTAACACTACAGCAACAGAAATTAGCGTAATGTTCCATTAAAAAATCACACCGGTGCAGCAGGGGGAGCGACCCCACGCTCGTATTTATCAGCCGCGTTAAAAGAAATAACTGTTCGAGTCAACGAGCTTAGTTGAACCAGGCTGGTCGACTATAAAATGGCGCCAACAGACGATATCTGAATATGTCTACTTTTATTAAAAATTTATGTAGTTAATTAATAGTTTGCTTAAATTCAATATTAATAAGGCAGATTCTCTTCTTGATGGCGCTTTATCCAATTTTTGCATATATTGCCTTATCTCTGAAATGGCAGCATGGATACTTTTCATCGTCTATGGATCGCTGTCGACTGAGAACCTCTGGACTATCCACTTTCTATGTCTAAAAAAATAACATTCTACTGCATAATTGGCCCCGTTTTCTCGACAGAATTGTAAACTCTGTTCGCTGTCAAGAAGTGATCCCAGGCGTTCTGGTACCGTAAATTAATAAAGAGGCCATGGAATCCTTTTTTAACAGTTCAGGGCGCACTAATGATACAGTACTTCAGCATGACGGTCCACTCCATTACAGAGCTAATAGTGTAGTGACTTCACTATAGGATCATTTCAGTGAACGGCTAATCATGACAAATCGAGAGAGTTCTTAGTTGAGTCAGGCTAAAACCCTTTCAGTGAAGCTAATAAACGAGTCTAGACGTAATGGAAAATGGCAGCATTTAGAATTAGAATGACCGTTGCTTCAATAAACTTGGTTCTTTGATATCACATACAGTCGGACGTAAAATATAGATAGCGATGCCTATACGTTGGCGATGTTTGTCTCGCTCTACTTTATCTGACCCGCGTTCGCTGTCTTCCGTTATCCTGCTCCAGGGTGCTCCATCCAACCTCTTGCCTGCTTGCTGTGGTCATTATCAGTAATTAATGCCGACCGACAAGCAAATAGTAGATCACCAATTGGCCCCGAGCCCACTCATTTCACCTCTCAATGACAGTCAATAACTGCACTGAAGGGTTTCCAAACAAACTAGAAATCAACACCGAGCGGTACCAACTATTTCGTGAGACTTTAAATGATTTTCGTTCTGGACGACCTATTACAGATGAGGACGTAAAGAACGCAAGAAAAACTCGTAATCGTCATGCTCAGAGGGTGTGCATAAAAAATGGACACCTCACATGATTTTGTGCAGATCAAGGATTGTGCCAAAGAATCTGAATTTGAAGAAAATACAGACCCAACAATAGCTCTTTTTCGGGGTGAGAGACAGGTGTAATAGAGACGCAAAAGTGCAGCATCTAAATATCTTTTCGCAGGCAAGTCTTTTGCAACGCAAGGAAAATTGAGCTTTTTTTTTTGCCGTCATAGTTTACAGGCAAAGTATATCTAGTAAAGTCCTTTGTGCTTTCATGTTGTAAAAGTGAAGACAATGAGGCGCAATGTCGGCTAAATGTGCATTATTACAGGCAAACAAATCGATTTAGTACATATTTACTGTTATGCAGATAGCAGATTGCATTTACCCATGCAGTTACGTGAAAACAAAATACGTATACACTTAAAATTCAGTATCCCGAATGATACATTGTGATCTGCGGGCATTGCGTTGCTTTGCGTAAGATAACGAACAACGAAAAAAGCTGGCTTTGTAAAAAAAATTTGTTTCGAAATATTTCAACAGCTGAACTTCTTATCTTTTTTTTATCATGATTAGATTATGGTCATCATTATCAGACAATGTCGTCTTGTATACGTCGCCATAGGCGCATCACTTTGTTTCCCTTTGACCAAAAATGCCAATTTTTGCCAAATCTTGTATAGATTAGAAAGCATGTGAGGAACTCTCTTGCCGTATAGAATAGTTCGTCAATGAGCGAGCTAGTATGGTTTCCGGACTGTTAAGGTAGTACTATTATGGTTTTATGTTTACGTGTAACTATGGCCGTTGCTAGAGCAAACAAGCCTGCTCGTAATTTCGGCACGTACGAGGGCACACGAGCAGACGTACTGCAGAAACGACTACGCCAGTAAACGCTAATTACGGAAAACAATGTGGGGCAGTTCTTGCGCTTTCAAATTAGTTCATGCTTAAAATTGTCAATGTAGCATTAGTGCCATGACCGTAGCTTGCTTTCACAATAAACATTTATACAATTCTGAAGCTATTGATTGGATTAACAGGTAGCATTGCACCTGTATATTATCACATATAATTAGTGCCAGTCATGCTTTTTACGTTAACTAGCTTCATATAATAGTTATGCTACAGTCTGGTGCGGCCCGTAGAAGACCTACATTTCTTTCAATCGGCTAAAGGGTCTCGCTTCTTAGCGGACATCGAAACTTATTCAACCTGGCACCTTGAATAACTTAGTCTCTTTATAACTTAGCATATACATATATATATATATATATATATATATATATATATATATATATATATATATATATATTATATGCTAAGTTATATATATATATATATATATATATAGATATACACATAAGTGACCAGACAACATCTACACATTTACTTATATCTGATTTGTGTATGGAAACAAAAATAGATAGGTTAACAGACACTCTTGCATCTGCTAAAAATGTCGAATCAGACGAAGGCATTTGCTTAATGTAATGGCCATCCATCGCGATGACAGTTTTAATTCAGGCGCTAAATTAAATTCGGAGATATTTTTCAAATAATTTTTTTTGCCTTTTGGACTTTCGCCTAATTACGCTCTATACATAGTAATTGAGATGCGGCGGTTATAAGTGTGTGTTTATTGTTGGATATGTTATTACTGTTATTTTGCATGCGGCTTAGAGAAAAATCGAGGAAGGTTTCCAGAAAGCAAACTGGAAGGTTTTTAATAGAGCTTAGACTTAAGACTTAAAAATTAATGAAAATTACCAAGTTGTTCATATAGAGATTAACGGTCGTTTCTAAGAGCAAAACATCGTTTGCAGATTAGCTAGGACAGATAAACCCTAATAGTTAGTTTTTTTTTTACTTTTACGCCTATTTCTGGAAATTTTGGCCTGCTATTAAATTTCCGCAGGTAAATTTTTTTGGCATATTTAGTTGCAGGTTTAGTTTAGATGGAAAAAAGAATATGTTGATTACATATATTCGAATTATGCTCCTATGTAGTATACAATACGTCTTCTGGTGTAACTAATCAATTAATATAAATAGTAGTAGGTTTAAGCTATTTACTACCGATACATGTTTTCCTTTTCGTCTTGATCCTTTCGGTTTTGATATAAACTGTTGAGTGAAAATTTCAACTGATTTAATAGCGAGCTTTGTTACGTATGGCCTATTACGTATGATAGACGCGGATAAAATAGACCCAAAATGAATGTTCGTCTTTATAAATAGAATATTGGCTTTTTTCAACCCTTCTTAGACATAATTTTGTATACTTAAAGTAAAATATACATATTTACTACTAAATAACAAAGCGTTTCATACGACTTACTTGTATGCAATATGTAGAACTTCATATAGGTTTAATTGTTGTATTCTTATAATTATACGCTTGTCTTGGGTCTTCATATCCAAGCAACATTAATAGAACATATAGAATATGTAACATCCTTTGCAGTGCCATGCTTATAGACGACTGGAAGTAGCGGAATTCGATGCTCAATCGAATTCACAGTTGTGTAAACTCTGACTTTTTTCAACTTGACGAATAAATTTAAATAGTTTCTTAGACGTAAGTTTATAACTAGGTTATAACTAGGGTTATAACCTAGACTGTCCACCGACCATTTATGGCCAGGTTGTGTGCCGCTTATTCTTAGAGTTCTGATCGAATGTAGCTCTCTCAGGACGTTAGGATTTTAGAACAGTAAGCCACAGAGACTGAATCAAACATCTGACAGCTGAAGTAAGCATAATATGATGAAATGAGCATAACCAAATAATAATAAATTCTGCTTGTTGTAACCGATGCTCTATGTCATGATAAACTGAAGAATAAGACTGTACATTCACAGCGACTAAAAGGCCTAGTTTAGTTCACTGCAGATTGGAAAAAGGGAGACCTCACAATCGATGCCGTTCTTCAAATCTTGATAGGAACAGGCCTCGGACCTGCAAGACAACGGTAACGATTTATTGAAATCCTCATTCAGCAGTATACAGAAGTAGACACTAAATAGACTTATAACAATCAAATAGTTGCCTTTTATTTGAATATAGAAGGCTTCAAAGGTCAGGTGATATATTGAATGTAAGAACTTATCTGGCATGATCTATACTAGCTAGTATAAGGAATAAATACCTAAAACCATTATGCACCCTAGTATTGGAATGAAAGGTTCCTTTCTCAAATCACTGCAAAGAGGGCCATCACGCGAAGCGGGATCAAACGATGGAAAACAGGAGTATGGAGCTCTTTAATCTTCGAACAAGCAGGTTACAATGTAGGGCACAGCAATAGTCAAGTGATGGTACCAACTATACTATTATCGTGGCAGGTTAGCTAATCGCTGGACTAGCAACAGCTGGAGTGCTAGTTAACTGGGTAGTGTAAGACTAATTTTCGGCCTTAGTACTGCTAGATTCTAGCTATAAAGACCAATAAAGCAGCCAAGCTCTACATCAGAGGGAAAACCAACGGGAAGGAGAAAACCTTGATCCGCTGAAGGCCACGGCCACCAGTCGGACTAGAAACCCTAAGCAGATAATTTGCCTAGCTTCCGGTGGATGGTGAATTCCACTGCATAACAAATAGCAGATGTCTCATTTTTTTAATTCATTCATCGAGTCAGCGGTCATTTTTCCCTGGCGCACACATTAACCTTTTTGCAGGCAACTGCAATGCCACTACTTGTTATTCAGCGAGATTGTAAGCACAGCTGTGCCTATTTTTGTCGCTTTGTCTTGACTCTCTATAGCTGCGACACTAATGGACGCGCGTTGATAACCAAACTTTAATCCTGCGCTCGCAGACGAGCGAAGATGATTCAGACAACAATTATCGAGTGCTGAAGGAAGCATCTCATTTAAAAAAGGCGACGTTTGTATATTAGAGGCATCCTTCAATTGTTACCTTGCACACAGCCACGCGATGTCTAGTTACTCAAACCCAACGGCGATTACCATACCTACTCGTTTATGACCCTCGCTGCGCCCATCCAGTTATTTCGGCAGCTTTTTTCGTCACCCGAATAGGAACGACGATAACAGCAAATACGAAAAGAAACGAGAGATTTCTCTTGGTGTGTAACACTTCACCATCAGTAAATGGAACGTTCAAAAAAAAAAAACAGCTTTTACTTATGTAATTATCTAATGGATCCTTGATCTATGAAAAAAATATATATATTTAAAACATTTGTAAGCTTGTGTGATGTGAAACCTAATGGATTAGACATAAAGCTGCCTGCTTGCAACAAACAGAACTTCTTTCAAAGGCTGTATACACCGGGTTAGCTGTCTTACACAGAAATTACTTTTCTATTCGCGCTGATAGCATGTTGCCACTGATAAGTAATCCTAGAAACTACAACCTCTTGTGTTGAAAGTGATGGCGTTACTTACTGTTTTAATCGACCAGTTCTCGGGCGGCTGACTAAGAACAAGTTAATCAACTCAAGAAAACACGTGTTCCCTTACTGACTTTGGCAAGAAAGGTAATGCCTGAAAGACCCAACATACAGTGTTTCGTTATCGCTGTGAGATAAAGATACTAAAAGTAAAAATACTGAATAAGAAACGGAACGAATTATTTAATTCACTTAAACAATTTGAGTAAGTAAGTTGAAGTCACCAATGGGAAAATTCTGTTCTAAAGACGCAGCTCACAATGGACATTTTGAATATTCTGTTAGGAAAAACTGATGATATAAACAAGTAACGAAACATATTTGCTAGCGAAGGTTGCGACTAGCTGAGGAGGGCGAACGAGCACTGAACGAAAGCCGACAGAGCACACACTACTGACGGTTTGTACAGAATGGCTTTTATATGAAGGGTTAATTCTGTAAGCCTTAAGTTCGCAAAACCGGAAGATATCGAGAAAAAGCGTAAAATTTCGAAAACTTCACATAAAATAACATTGCAAAACTTTAATTGCTACTGAATTTTGCAGCAAACGAAAATGTAATAACGAGGTATACATCCGCCTTCCGGAGCTATGACCCATATATAGCTACTTGATTCGAGCGACGTTTATAAACCAAAATTTGTGTTCAGTTTGCTACTTTCTGTCGTTGAGCAATTTGCTGGCTATTTTGCCTTTAAGGAGTTCCACAAGTGTTCGATAAATGCGAGGAATAATGCTCAGCAGGTCCCCCCCTTGTATAACTTCTTGAAATTGGATCCTAAAAATTTCATTTAACATTTTTTTTACCTGTATGGTGTTCAAAACTGCTGAAACATTCGGAGCATTTATTCCTAAAAGAAATGCTCTTTTTTAAAAAAAAAACAATGCCTCAAATAACCCCATCGTACATATATTTTTGCCAAAATTTTTTTACGAACATCTTTGGAACGTAAAGACTACAATGAAAAGGTTTTTTAGAAGCCTAGGTTTAACTTTGGTCTGTGGGCAAACAGCTTAGATGATGACTGGCAAGCGATTAGCACGGTATTCAAGTTCGTAGTCAAATTTGCTGATTATCCGGCAGCTAGTCATACAACGATGACTCCGAGACTTCAATAGTGCCACTCCCTGTGTATTATAACTCTCCTGCTATTTTCGCGGGGCCTTTCGATGAAAAGACAGAGGCTGCCGTAGAGCACGAATGTACATTCAAAACCAATAAAAAATTCGAGTTTACATAAATACGGTATCTATATCACGAAGCTGAACTGATCCAAGCTGTTTACGGGCTTCCCAAACGGCGCCTGGCCTAATACAAAGAACACTCTGTACATTGCTTATTTAATCTGTCACCTTCATCATGTTTCTGTGCTGTTATTACTATCCGGAAGCAGCTCTACGAGACATCGTGTATGAAGGCGTGAAAATTTTGTACTCGTCCTCATACGTATTTATTGATTATTTGGGATACATATATAGCTGGACTTCCATCATACGCAACCTGAATACGCACCAGGATTTGCTGAAGCGTAGACAAGCAGAATATAGCCGATGAGACGTTAATATACAACTATATATCAAATTAAAAATTTAATATTGTAGAAATCTATTGTATTTAATATTGTATGTATTTACTATATATTATCTAAAGATAATATATAGTAAATTGAATTGAAATTATTTATTGATGAAGAAAATGTGACAGTAGGATTTAAACTAAGACTGTCTGGACACGGCAAGGGTAAAAACAGATAGCTTTATCTGGGAAGCCTCAAATTTCGTCTTCACTTATGTAGTAGGGAGACGAATCTTTGTGGACGTAAAACCAGATAAGCACTTCAATTTAAACGATATCACACTGTCGTTATTGCTATTAGATGGACTGTTTTTTTTACCAGTCTAACTTGGCCAGTCGACTTGGGTTTATTCGATTCTCTTTCCGAAAGTCCGGTCGCAGTTTTTCTGTAACGGAGCAAGCCTATTATCTTGACGGAAACTCAAGGCTCGATCAGTAAGTATAAATGGTGTAATATTTTCACTATAAAAACATTCGTTACTTCTTTTACATTGATATTTGAAAACCTTTTAAACACTAAAAATTACGAATGTGCTAAATTACGAAATCCATAACTAATTTCTATTACGTTATTTTTACTGTTTTGTCATTGAAGGACATTTTTCATTTTACTCCTTATATCAAGGACGCTTAAGCTGCAACTCAATAAAATTCACAGATCTATTACGCGGAAAATTTAGTCTTATCACCTTAGCATGCTCAATCGCATCCATTCTCGATTCTATAATTTAATTATTGTACTATTACTGTATTGTATTATTGACTAGTTCACCTCACATTTAAACCTAATGTGAATACGTGTTTGAATTATGCCATTATCTTCCTTCCTTCCAACCCCTAATTCATAAAATTATTACTACTTTTCGCAGTTTTTATATATATATATATATATATATAGAGCGAGAGAGAGAGAGCGAGAGAGAGAGAAAAAACCGAATTGATATATTCTTTTGGAATAATCACTTATGCTAACAACATTTACTACTGTACTCTTTGCAGCCACGGAAAAATTAATTCACGTGCCAAATCATATTTTTCGTTATACTCACGTAAAATGATTTGGTGAGAGAACTTTACTTGTTTATTTTTTTTGTGGCGGAATACAGGATGAACCAGAGATTACGAAAAAATGTTGATCATACCTTGCTGTTTCTCAATGCAGCTGGACCAGAGTAATCAGTTCAACTTGCATAATGCCTTGGTATTTCAATCATGGCTTTGCTATCCATGACGGTCAGAACAACGGATAATGCTTGTATGTTAAAGTATCGGTCATTTTGTACTTCTCGTTTATTATAAATAGCTTCCTTCAATCAATCGTCAATTAAAAAATTATGCGTCACTTTAGATTGGACCGTGTAACAAGTAATAGAAGACACAAGTGCAATCCAAATGTGCATCCTCAGACTTTTGATCAATTTCTCACGACAAAGTTCTAGGTAAACAATGTCTACTTAAAAAGGAATAGGAACCTCAACAGAAAATAGCAGGTTTTTTAGTTTTTCTTTTTAGTCCTTGATGACACAACAGACAAAACCTGTGCCTCTGAGATCGCTGTTTTCGGAATTTTTCAACTATAGTTCTGCTCTAAACAACATCAAACAAACGAAGTTTTTTTTTTTATTAATGATTTAATGCTTGCTCTTCCGAATGGGAATCAAGAGCTTTGAATGAGGACAGCACCCCAATGCTTTTTACGAAATCTTCAGAACATTGAGCAATAGTATATATTTTGTATAGTGAAAAGCGTGCATGTACTTTACTTCATACTGTCCAGGTCTGGTTATATGATCCGAGATGTGTTCAGTTTAAGTGGTATGAGTTCCCCAAAAACCGCTTGACGTGTCGCTTAAAGACAATCTTGGCTTTGTACCGCTGCGTCTGGATACGCAAAGCTTCACTAATATGGTACGCCCCTCTCATTAATTAGCATCTGTGTAGATATTCGCGAATTCGAAGATTACCTTGCCTCAGAGACTGCGTAGGTGCAATTAACATAAATGCAGTCAATGCCAACTGGTAAGTAAATAAATATTCCGGAGCATTCGTTAACACGAAAGGCGTTGATTCTTCAGAGATTAAAGGCAGAAAGATTGCGCCGTTGTTTGGCTTGGATCTGCCCAGACACTAACACATGCATTTGTGTCGCGCATAACCAAAACGTACGCATAACACAATATAACAACGTAAATAACCCCCTTCATGACAAGTAGGCATACTACAATAGAGGAGTAGTATGCACAATGCTGCCAGAAATCAATCATTTCCAATATCTAAAACACCTTTTTTGTGCATTCATCACGATACCCTCTATGAACAGTATTTACAAGTTTGGCTCGAGCTATTGCTTTCGGTTTTAGGAAATCCGACTTCACAGAGTTCGGTTGAATACTGAAATACTTAAGATTTATTCAAGTGCACGTACATTTGGAGGACAATAGGATATTTTTGATGAAATATTTGCATGCGTTGGACAAAATAAATATTAACACTGGTACCTCATATCATATAACATTTCAAAATGCCTGTTACTGTTATCCCTGACGACTTGAGTGGTTGTATCGTGTGCTCGTTAAAATCTAGTTGAACTGTCCCTTGCACGTCAATATCTCTCGTGAAAACGGCACAAGCGAGTGTAGTACCATGGTAATCACATTTAGTTAAGGGCTTAATTTTCGAAAACTACACGCAAAACTTTTATATCTTTGCTTAGACAGAAACATTCCCTTTCATGGCTTTGCCGGGCGGCATCATCCACAACAACAAACGATTTTCATTTGACGAAGTAATCCTCGCTTGAATGTAAATTGTTTAGGGAGTATTTGTTTACGTCTGACACAGATTTAGCAAAATATAACAATTAGAGAAACGTAGTTTTCCTAAGAAGCACCAGAGGCTGCCACTAAGACCGCCCTGTGTCGTTGCCAATCGTGGTTTGCTAAGATCGATTCGCACTCTAATCCGCTTCGAATATGGACACCTTCGTGCATACCTTGAACGTCGTTCAACGAACCGTAGACCTCGTTGAAGCGTTTTCTTACTTAATTCGGCGACAAGCAATATACCCGCTCCATACAGACTTTGAAAATATCTTTGCAGACTTCTCAGCAATCATGCAAATCGCCTTTCTCTATTACTAGCCGACCGTACTCTGCAATGTAGAGCAGAAGCGACTGACGGGAGCATCGCCATCGCTTCTGCTCGTCACCTTGATTAACCTCTACATTCATATTGAGCGAACAAAAAAAATTCTTGAATGGCCAAAATGGTTCAACTTTGACATGTAACTTTTACAACAATAACTGTATTCTGAGACCAACCCATACGGGCATAACAGGAAACTTTACAATAAGATTAAAAAATTATAGTGTTTTTCCGTAAATAAAATAGCTTATTTACTATGTGGGTTATGAGGTGTGTTATAATCAACGTCCACTCGTACTTACGTACACATACAATCCAAAGGGGATACACGTTGTCCTTTACGTATTAGGTTGGTCAAAAAATAATAGTGGCTTGTTCATCCAAATCAGCATCACTCAAACCGCGGTGACTCATCAGTTTATTACGTATTCGACGTCATTCACTATGACCTATTCCTATCTATCAGCGAATTTATTTATTCCGTGTTAGACCTGCCGTTGAATCCATTCAGCCAGCTTTTAAAACGCTGCGTTTGCAGTTATCAATTTTATTAGCCATGGGAAAGACGACGTTTTTCGTTTGATGACATTTGGAAAATACGTTGATTGCAAAAAAGCCCTCTTTCTGAAGCATTTTCCACCCACTAAGACCCCTCCGGTCCCACCGTAAACGTAAATTGTGATCTTTCTTTGGATAAATATATGGGTGAACTGTGAGTTAGAGGAGTATCTACTGCAACTAGCCATGCTGTACCTGCTTCGAATCGACGTGGAGACGTTGCCGTCTGCGATGGTACTGCAGTGGAGTAGCTCACTGTAGGTGCCTTACGCTTTTGAACCAGATTTTGCTCCCGGTTTTTTTTTTATAAAATCTGCCTATCACTGTCCCATCATCATCAACAACAATTAAAATGTTCCTGAATTGTTCAATCGAGTGACTTAGCGCAAATAAATGTTCTGCTAAAACAGATAGATAAACATCGAAAAATGCATTTTCTTTTCAAGCATTTAAACGACTCACCGTAAACGTGTTTAAATTCACCACCTTAAGGTTTAGATCCAGTAATACGGATAATTTATCAGTTAGTTCCACAGCGTGATTTACTATTTACATATCGAGAACAAGGATATAAAATTATTGAAATCTTATACGTAATAATCATAATACGTCTGCTATTAAAGCGATTTTAGCTAGAGCGGTAGAATCATAATTTGCATACTCAAAGCAATCGAAAAATAGTGAGACAAATCTAAATTTTAACTATTCGATGTTTACCTTATGTTTTAATTGTTTAAATAAAAACAAATTTCGACCTTATTATCAGAAGATAGTACTAACCGGCAATATTTTTTTCGCGTACCAAAAACCTCAATTGGGTTCTTTACAAAATATTAGCGCCAGAGTAGGTTAATGAGTCAAGATGACAGAATAAATTACGGAAGTATGTACAGCGAATCAGTTCACATTTTTGAAACTTCGAGAATAATTTGATATTCAGTTAAAAATGACATCTTCTACATAAAAAAATCTGTATCAAACATTTTTGTTTAGAGGACGATACATTTTGAGCTTAGATTAATGAATATCCCATAGTATATGCTCCGATGTTATGCACATCATATGAAGTAGAATTCAACTTAGGCATCTCATCAAATTTACAAAAAAAAATATTATATTTTTTTCTGCAAAGCCAGTCTCGAAATTCCAGTAAACTTAATTGAGTTCAGCCAACAAGTTTCTAAACACTTCTGAGATCAATATATTGCAACTAAATGATCGTAGAAAGTTTGCTTTGTTTTGTTTCACATAAATACATTCCCATTTTATGCGGGATTCCTGGTAGCTACACCTACGCTGGCATTTTTTAGTTGTTATAAACGTTTCTGCAATAATCATTGATAAAATTACACTCATCGCACCTCGGTAGCTCCGCAAATTTTATGCTTGCCAATAGCAACTCGGTTGTTTACATAATCATACATTTTAAATTATTGTTTATGGATAATCATAGGACGGTGCAGAGAGAATTGTTATATACTTACCTTCAGATTTCTACGTTGTGATATTGAATGTAACGACACCCCTGACATAACGACTGACCTCTTCGTTGATGTATAAATCATCGGTCCTATAGTGGAAATAAATATACAGGACTGATTGCACTACCTTACGCCTTAATTGCACGGTAGAGTACTCCATTACAGATGATGCTTTCCAGGGTCTTGAGATGCAAAGCTATAGTTTAGCCGTCATAAAAATTAAGCGTTTGTGGAACACGAGTAAATTACTAACCTCTTCATAATGTTCTTTTGTGTGGACTTTTACTTTCATAATGCGTTAATTGTAGGCGCGAGAATTGGCGGAAAACACTTGGTAACTGTTAGAAAAGAGATAAAATACATTAAGTAATCCCATAACGTACTTCTAAAAATATTTGGATAAAAATGACATGTGTCTTTAAACGTTCGACATCAGTTAATAAAAATGACACCGTAGTTATACTAATAGGGCAAATTGTTAATTTATTAATATATTTAAGAGGCGCAGCATCTATAGGAATTCTCTGTAACAAAAAAAAAAAAACAAAAGCCAGTTTTATTAGTATAGGTTTATTGTATTAAGCGTTCGAGTATAAGAAAAATTAAACTCTGCTATTGTAATTAAAGATTAATTATAATAATGATTTGATCACAATGATGCTGCCATTGGCGCCTGCCACATCCTATTTGTATATTATATGCATTATAGAACAAAATATTAATTATTATCAGCTAAATAATTATATAAGTGCGCTTGCAAAAAACGAGTCAAAAAACGAGTAATCTTTAACACTTTTGCGCAAAAAAGCATAGCTCTTGCAAAATCCCCTGTATACCTGAATAACTGTAGTAATATTGAATGCTATCTGCTCTTACTTTTATTACCACGATGACACTTGGACTGAGAAAAAAGAAATGATAGAATTACAGATGACCTTGTTGAGCTACACACCTACTTCTCGGACCATTTGGTGTTATAGATTGGTAGGTACTGTAGTACTGTTTTCCAATCGGTGAAATAAAGCATCGCGATAGCGCCTGCGCCGCCATATGCAGCAGCCGAGCTCGACCTTCACAGTAAAACAACACAGCAAAAATTATTTTTAAAATTCGTCTAAATGATACGGTATTTGGTATAAAACCCTCCACTTTATCTTGACTTTCACTTCAAAGAAAAATATTCCTAAGGTGTTCTCTGATTGCATTGCTTGATACAAAACTTCGCCAAAAAAGGTCGCTAACCATCAACCAAGTGTAAAATAATTATGCTAAAGTCCGTCAATGGAAAGTGCTAAGCATGCAAATAGAGTAAACTAGTCCTTTGTACGATAAATGCTTTTAAATTAACTCATTAAAATGTTCATTGTCGGAAGCGGTCTAATAGTAATAATAATAATAATAATCATTTATAAGGGCTGCAGTGCCTCTAAATATCTTTTATCCGAGTAAAAAATGTCTGTAACTCCTGCGTGAATCTTGGCCACGAACACATTACGTAAGGACACCGTTTAATTTCAATTTGAAACTGTATCGGTAATTCTCTAGCTAGCACATAAATTAGTTAGCACAACGATATACCAGATTTTAGCGAGCTCAGTCCACTTTGCCATGATTAAATTTCGACAAGCTTTCCTGGTTTGCACCACTCCGCAAATCGACCTCTCGACCGCTGATGATACTAGCTTACCCTTGCGGCTGTGCTGAGCGGGAACAGCTCTATTGATCACAACAATCTGCTCCTTTCCTCAGTACTTGTTTCCGCTGAAGTTAATTGCTGAAAAAAATGTCGAATTTTGCCTTAATTTATATAATTCCAAATCGTAGCTATTTTCCTAATATATCTCAGCGTATTAATTATAGATACCGACAAACAAAACCAAATGTTTTATATACAGCAACAGCTATAGAAAATGTGCGTGCTTTCAGCATCTCGTTGTTTGGCTTGCACATTTAGGCAGTAGTTTCGGAACGTGGTGGCGCTCGAACTTCTTGCAAACCTGAATTTTTGTTACTTTGTGGTTGGATCATTAATGAATACATCAGCTGGCATAATTGGTTTGTGTTTAGTGTGGTCTCGATATTCAGAAGAGACGTGCCTCGTGTATTTCCGTCCTCTCAAGGGTATTAATAGAAAAAGCATAGTGCAAAGGGCTGTAGTACTACTAAATAATTATGATTTGCTTTTGGACGGTATAAAATTATCAATCGGTGGATGCACACAAACGACAAATTTTGACTTAATTTTTTTTGCCCTCCAGGAAACCTTGCTGTGCTGTCAGAGTAGTAACTTAAAATGAAAGTCCGTCGCAACAATAAGCTGGCGCATTCTTTGCCACAATTACAGAACCTTGTCAAGAGGGATCCCACTTCCTACAATGATGAGGTAAAGTTTGAAAATCAATTGAAATCAATTATGATATTGCAGATAACCAACTGCATATAAAATGTGTATAAGAATACCCCACGTTAGGAAATTTGTTGCAGCATGCTATACTTGCTGTTTGCAAACCGTTTTTTTCTTTTTCTAACTTTACTAGTTCTATGGGACTGATGACAACTGCTCAGAGTTATTGTCTCTCCATTATATCAGGCTTGTTAGACTTTCACTTCAAGTGGGAGAATGCGTTTCTTGCAGACTTAGCTCCCGTACGATATTTTTCGAAAATTCACAATAGTCAATGGCTACTTGAAACAAAAAAGTAAGCTATTGTTTATTTGCAAGTGTACATTTGTTGACGATTCAGTATATACTTATTTCTACTTTTTTTCCTCTATATTCGTTTGTTTTATATTTTAAACAGCATTATGTGCCTTCAATGAACAAATAATGATGTATAATACTACTGTTTGGCACCGTAGGTCCGTCAGCAATGGTCGCATTACCGCGCACTGTATTCGCAACCGTCAGAGTACACATCGGAAAAGTTCGAGGAGCTGGTTGTGTTCTTGGCCAATGTGTGCCAATATTACGAATTTAAAGATGAATTTATTCGCGATTGTATGGAACTACTGAAAAGCCAAGCACAGCTTTTCACCCCTGATTCAAGGTATATACAACTCTTCGAGCTTTTCCTCAAGTATTCTTCTTGTGATATTTATTCACGTGACATATATTCATATACATACAATACATATGACATACGTGCAGTTTAAAGGGAGCATGTTTCAGCAATAACAGTCAGTCAGCGAAGGCACTAACTGACTAAGTCATCGCCCGACGCAACATTGTGCCGTTGAGTTAAATCAAAAATGCGTCGGGTTATACACGTAATCGGCAGTTATAGGCCAAACAAGCTCAGTATAAATTATATCTAATTTATATTGAGCTATATATATATTGAGATATATATAAAATACAAAGATATTTGTGTATTGTACCGCAGCCTTTTAGTGGAACGTGAATGAAGTTCAATGACAACATCAATTTCAGGTTGTGCATTTGCCGTGCTCTGATCATGATTCGGAATAAGGGTCTCCTTGAACCACTGCCTATACTTGAACTTTTTTTCGGTATGTTCCGGGTAAAGTTCGATAAAAATCTTCGCGAATTCTTGAAACAGCATATCGTTGCTGACATTAAGAACACTAATCGGAGAACCAAATCAACTAAGCTAAACAACACGTTACAGAACTTCATGTTCACCGTTCTCAACGTACGTCCTGACAGTTTTTTAACATCAGATGTTTCCATCGCACTAGCGGCTTTTAGAAGCGCTCACTTAATTAAACAAACCTACTACCTGCCCTACGGTAAATCGCTACAGCAGCATCGCCATACAACAACGTATGGTTAAACTGTGATAAAACACTATAATTATCATATAAACACTAAACTATTTTCAGTCATCAGGGGCAGGTAGACGTCACAACATTATCGAAATGGTAGCGGTAACGGTTAGGTCGTTGACGTTCTTTCTCACTACAGGATAGCGATACACAGGCAGCAAAACAGTCGCTTGATTGTGTTGTTGCCTTATATCAGAAACAAGTGTGGAATGATGCGAAAACGGTTAACGTCATTGCGGCGGCATGTTTTCATCCCGAGCTGAAAGTAATGGCTACCGCCGTCAAGTTCTTCCTAGGTACGTGGCCAAACCACTTAATGTTAACTTAAGATATTTGGAACCATTCTTAGGGACAGGAGAATCGAAGACACTGAGCAGCAACGCTCGGATACGGATAGTGACTCTGATAAAATACGCGGCTTGTGGAGAACACAGTCATTAGTTTTTTTTTATGAATAGCTAGAAAAAGGTGCTAAATGGGTTGTAATAATAGTAATACGTATGAAAAGTTCGTGTCAAGAGTTTGTACAGCTTTGTTCAGAAAAGCTAACTTGCAAAATTCGCGTTTTTGGTAGCAGTGCGAGTACTGTTATGATATGCTAGCTTCCATGTGTAGTCTACCCTGGCCATTTATTTAGGAAGGTAGCACTTGATGGATGAGCGAGTATCGTCGTTACTGAAACATCTTGCACTCAATCCATTCTTATCAGACTTATCTATCCATCTAGTGATCAAATTTGAGATTGTCAACCCATTAACACTGATTGATACGGTTACAGACACGCTTGTAAACAAAAGAAAATTACTACTACTAGCATAAAGCGTACTCGACAGAAACTGCTGACCTAAATAGTGAGGGCTCTATATATATACATGGAGCTCTCAGATGCATGAATGAATTAAATGTAGTATTCATCGTACGTTCTCATCGCTCATCATACTTTTGTCGTAGTGAGGTCATTATAGTACAAGTGACAATAGTGCGTCATTGTTGCAGTTGCGACTACCAAGGGTTGAGTGGCAGTAGCAGAAATATTCTTAAATACGCGCATTTGTAAAAGCAAATGTCGACGCAAAGTATAGATGATTTGTCATAACAAAATTAAGTGATAGACATAATAACATAAAATGTTGGATGTATCTGGAACCGATCGTAGGAACCGATGAAGACATTGAGCAGCAGCCCTCGGATTCGGATAGTGAGTCGGATACACCCGATATCAAAGAAGCCCTTTTGACGCATCGGATAAACAAAAAGACACGCAAACGGAAGCGATGGCTTGAAAATATCAAGAGAACGGCAAAAAAGGCTAAACGATCGGATAAGGCACCAAGCTACAACTTTTCTGCTCTTCATCTCATTCACGACCCACAGACGATGGCCGAAAAGCTTCTTAAAAAAGTCGGCACACTCAATGAGCGATTTGAGGTTAAACTTATGATTCTCAACCTTATTTCGAGACTAATTGGCGTTCACCAATTAATAGTCTTCAATTTCTATCCAGTAATCATAAGGTAAACACAAACTTACATTTGTTCCTGTAGTTTTTTCAATTGAGAATAGGACCTATGCTAGTCCAGTTCAGTTATCCAAAACAACGACTATTTCTAGTGTGCAAAAATCCATTTAACTGAATTGATACGTAAGCATATGATTATATACAACGAGTGCAACTGGTAAAATATCGCGTTACAGATATATTCAGGCACAACAACGCGAAGTTACCAAGATCCTCCAATACGCCGCACAAGCCTGTCATGATCTAGTTCCGCCAGATGCTCTCGAACCAGTAATCCGTGCAGTGGCAAACAATTTCGTCTCTGAGAGGAACTCTGTTGAAGTGATGACCGTCGGTTTGAATGCAATTAGGGAGATATGCCTTAGAGCCCCACTTGCCATGGATGAAGACCTTCTTCACGATCTCGTTATGTACAGGGGGTACCGAGATAAGAATGTTAGCACCGCTGCTCGAAGTATCGTTGCCCTATACAGACAGGTCAGTGAAGGTGGTTCTAAATTTTTTAGTAGTACTTTTTTGCAGATCTCTCAGTTGCAGAGCTAGCTTTGTAGTCGTGTTTTCTGCTTGTATCATTCGCAGTTTATTCTATTACAATACTATCTAATTTATTCGGACCTCGAAATTCTGCGTGATCTCAGGTGCTGATCCTCAAAAGAGAGCAGTGTTGCACCCTTATATTGATTAGCCCATTGATTATTTTTGTCTTTATATAGGTGAATCCAGAGCTTTTAAAAAAGAAATATCGTGCTCGCCCGACTGCCGAACAACAGGAAACCCTACATGTGAAAAAGTATGGCCAGACTATTGCAGCTGACTTCGTGGCGGGAGCAGAAGTGCTTAATGTAGACGGCGCTGACGACCATGACAACAATGAAGATCAGGCATCGGACGAGAGTGACGGTGGAGAATGGGTAAGTTCAGTCCTTCTCTCCGAAGATTTGACGTTTTCCGTTGGTTTAAAGGTATGGGTTGATAAAACAATAAAATACCTGCAATGTGTGTGTTCGTGAATGTGTTTGCGCATAATGTTGTCGTTGCTATTGCACTTTATAATTGCCGGTCACCATCATAGGTGGATGTTGACCATAGCGAGGAAGAAGGTTCTCTGACGCTGGCTGCAGATGCAGACTGTGGTAATGGCGACAATGGTGATGAGGACTTGAGTGACAACGATGAAGATTCTGGTGAGCCCGATGGCAGAGTGGCTAATAATGAGGACCAAAAATCGATTGCGTCCAGTCCGGCTGTTCTAAGTCTGGAGGAGCGACGGGAGAAGGCCAAATTGATTTCCGCTACAAGAATTTTATCTCAAAAAGAGTTCGCTCAAGTGCGCCAGGTTCAGCTTGCCAAGAAGGTCGATGCCGCTTTGCCTAAAAGGTAACACTATGTGTAAAAAAGCGTGTAGCTGTTGTAAAATATACGTGGCGACGCGGCCGGGCGCGCGCAACTCATGAAGTACCGTAGCAGTGTTCTAAAAGTTTCAATAGATATGACGCACTCTTAGCCGAGAATTGACGCAAAAAATCTCTATAGTGAGATGGTGTGCAATATAGTGTTTCTATAGTTCCAATACAGTGGTAAAAATGTTACTGAATTTTTGCGATTTTAAATGCTATTCTTAATGCTTACCATCAAAACACATGTGTATTTTCTGCTGCTGTAAAATCTCCAGATAAATTATTTTTACGTTAAATTGGTAAAGTTGATACACCAATTATCTGAGTGTGTTTCGGCACCAATATATGACTGGAGCACAGTGAATTTGAATTACTTCATGGCCTGCTTAGTAGAAAAGTTCTACTTAAATTAGATCGCTAGCAGTCTTCGAGATTGGTGAAGTATTAGTTTCGAAGCTCATTAGTGCTTAATAAATTTAGTTGTAAAAGCATAATATAAAATAGCAGTATGATTTGGTATATTTCAGGTTCCTGAAGAAAAAAAACGAAATACCGGCGGCAGATGATATTAAAGGAGGCACGGCTAATTTGATTGTGGATCCTACTGTACGGAAAGAGACAGTACAACTAAGAGACATCGAAAAATTGTCAAAAAATCTCAAAAATGACAAGGCAGCTAGAATGGCTTCTATTCAAGCCGGTCGTGAGGGCCGAGAGAAATTCGGGGGGTGAGTGAGTCTAGTTGACCCGCCTATTTACTCGACACAATACAACATGACAACAAATTAATAGTGCCTTCTTGGCTATCGTAAGGAATCAACTACTGTTCACTTTCAACAGCCGCTTAGCCTTTAACATTCCTTTTGAACACTGAAAACTTGTTATTTATTAATTATTTAAAGTTGTAATTATTTAAAATTATTGTATGCGTATATACTTGATCATATTATTTTATTTTATATGTACATGCACTGTAACTTAGTTTTAAATTTATTCATTTAGTAAATAGGCATAATTTACATAATTTGTTCTGTTCTTTGAAGGTACAGGCTATACAACAAGTCAGTCAACTGTATTTGGCTATCGCCTGATAAATATTTCTCAAATTCATGAAAAAAACTAAACGAACTACATCAAATACAACTGATGTCAATTAATACGGGTAACTATGTGGACATGTTTTGCAGGTACAAACAAACCAAGGCGGAGTACGCCTCGCTAAGCAATAAACAAAAACGAAAAACCAAAACCTATAATATGATCAAACATAAAGTCGGAGCTAAGGTGAAGAGGAGTTTTCGGGATAAGCAGCTCGCTCTCAAAGCGTCTCTCAGGAAGATTATCAAGCATAAATATTGACTCGATAGTTTCATATGTTACACTGTTTATATATCTGTGTCACATGAAGTGATATTGTTAGTACGATTTACCTTTGCCGCTATATGTAGTGCATATCTTTCCAGATATCTAGCGGAAGAAAACCTATAATATGTAAAAAGTAATTACTTTAAAAATGTGCTGAATACTTATAAAATGTTTAAACTTATGCGGATCATTAATGTTGTTTTACTTTAAACATGCCATCTAATGACATCTAGGTAGTCATCAATGTACTCTGAAATTAAAGATGAAAGAATTCGATTGTCTAGATGGTGCGTTATGCATTTGAAATCAGTGTTTTTAGTGTATTTGTACTTGACGTTTAAAGGCCTCAGCGTTGTTGAGGCCTTTAAACGTCAAGTGACAGCATGAGGTCTTGCAGGTCTCTCAAGGCTCATACTAACCTCATATGGCCAATAGGCTTATCACTTAAATATGTGTGCGCATAACATCAGCAAAGCAATCTGTTTAAAACTCTTTTACGCAAAAAAGACATATAGGTGAATTACATAATTTTGAAGAACAAAAACCTGTAGGAAATCATTTAAGCTACGGCGGCTACCTAAAATCTATAGAATCAATGCAGAAGTCAGCGCCTTTTTAATATTGAGCGTAGACGGTTTTCACAAAATATCATTGATAAAACATTTTTCTATATTAATAAATCTCAAACTTTTTTTTCCTTTCGCCTATATACATATTTTTTTTGTTTAACCTTTGCTTTTTCTTAAATTAGATGTTCTAGCTGCCGAGGCAAGGCATTATAATTTTGTTAGTTAAAATTTTGATGGAACGTTTCGCTTAATTTTCGCTTTCCTCCTATGACTCGATATTTTATTCTCTAGTAATATTTCAACTATTTATTTGTCGCATCTTTTGACGTATGCATTAGAAGACGGACTTCCGATTTTAGATAATTTTATAAAGTCTAGAGAGGGTACTGTTTGGTGATAATAATGGGTAGACTTTTTGGTAGTCAAGTTACGCGAACGAATCGAAACCTTTGACTAGACTTAATTTATAATCTCACTCTATTTTTTTCTAAAGTTCTTCTCTGTACATTTAATAATATCTTTATTTTTTTGAATAATAAACGTGCTTATGACATAGCTGAATGTAATCAATCGAAAACAGTTATGGTTCAGCAATGGTTAGTACAGTAAAGGAAATTATATGACGATTTTAATAATAATGCAATAATTGTGATGTAAAATGCTTTGTGCTATGTAACACTTCATGTATCATTATATCTGAGAGAATTTAAGCTTTGTCAAATTTTGGAAATAAAGCAAGGTATGCGTTATATTGTAAACACTTCAGCACAAAAAAGGAATATATTCAAGTTAAACAAGATTCTTAGACAAAAACGTCCTTGCTCGGCTGTTGTTTCTCCGTCGAGTATAGCGAGTAGCTAGGAACGTATATAATAAGTGCGCATATAGTTCTTATAAATTTGCAAAATGAATGCGAGAATTTACTGGTTATAACAATAAGTTTTAGTAGATATATACGACAAGGTTTAGTGATGTATAGGTAGATTTATGTGCCAAATAGCTAAAAATGTAATAATTCGTTTGTTACGCCTTATTACTGGCCTGACAGAATATTTAATTCGTTTTTTTGCGTTGGTACTGTACTGTGATAATTTAGGAACCATCAAAAATTACGCGCTTATTACGATCGCGAATTATGACAACATAACCTAAGGAGGCGGGAAACCGATCGTTTGTCTTGGTCAAATTTGCGACGTAATTGTACCCGATATTAAAATCAGCCCTCTGAATCTTGTAACACACTTATCCAAATTTAAGAGCAAGGCTAGTTACGTTCCAGATATGATACTTTCGAACATAGACAAGCATCTGTCGTACTTCATATACGTGTTACTGCAGCTGAGCTTCACGCAGTCCTTTGATCATTAATGTGTTTTCAATAGATGCACGAAATGCCAAACTGTGCGGTTTTCGATAATACACTAGCCATCCAATCTCGCCTATACCAGTAATTTGTAACCTATAGGAAGCCAAGTATTGGAACAGTTTAACTCCGCTTGATACGCGCCCGTAGAGATCATGAAAAGGTTTACACAGCGTATCGTAAAATTCCCTGGGCGCAAGAGTATGCCGTAAAAATATAATACGAATTGATGAGTAGTTATACGGATACGGTTAGCTGTGCTTATTTTTGCCAACGAACGGTAAAACTGAGCAGGTTCGCTTAAATATATTTGTAGACCTTAATGTGGTTGAACATTTTCAAACAATAATGGAATACACACAGCAGAAGTCATACAAGCTTGCTAAGCTCATCGTATTACATATGCTAGAATAAAAGATATAGGTACTACTAAAATACTTGGTCTTTGGAGCTACGATTATTGGAAAAGTACGTTCTTAAGTTGCTGTATGCAGACGAATACCTTCACTTGGAATCGCCTGAAGAAGATTTTCCAGTTTATTTACGAACGCTGCACAATGTGTAATCATCTCGAGTCGTGATTATAGTTCTGACACATTTCTAATTTTAGCAGTTTCGGTCTCCTTCAGATGTCGTCGATGAGCTTCTGCTGTAACAACAACAAACCTAAGCAGTTCATTGACGTTTTAAGGAACTCACGTTTGCCAAGTAAGAGTTGATTAAATAACGTGAATATGGCGTCCTTAATTCCTTGGAGCAGCTCATCAGGTCTTTTATGTTCCGAAATGGTAACTATGTTGTTATCTGAATGCAGATCTGATCTAATTTCATCGTTTATGAACTGAAAAATATCTGAGACTACTTTTCTTTCAAATAGGAGCCAAGTGTGCCCATGGAGACCTTTGAGAGTGCCTTTGATTCATCATTAACATCAATTTGTAAATATGTGTTCGCAAAATCTATTATCGAGAAATATGTTCTACCATGTGGTAACGATGTAATGTAACGTTGGCAGCGGGTAGTAATGGTCTGCAGACCGAGGGAGAGATCTAAGATCACTCGTATTTTCCAGAGAAAACAGACTATATACTGCAAGAGCAGCAGATTTTGCGTGCGTAAGGTGTTACAAATGCCAGTTCCATAGAATCGTCACCATTTTTTCGACAGTTTAAACAAACATGGTACGAAAATGGTCTTGTCTAAAGATTTTTCTTTTTGCAAGGTTCACCCGAACATGTCACTTTATTACAGTGCATTTGTTTAAATCAGAAATAAAACATGTCTGTTTTAATTTATTTATCAAATACTTTCTCATTTTTTTTTTTTACTTTTTAATTTTTAACTTTTATGACCTCTACCTGGATCTCCTGGTGTGTTCTACCATAGTTTGGATATCTTTTACAGCAGTTTTCTCGATGCTGTTCTCCACATTGTTCGGAATCTATTATAAAACACCTTAAGCAATTTGTTTTTGCAAGTTATATGCATGCAATGTCATATATGAGTTTATTTAATGTCTCTTTATTTATCACAGTAATACCGAATCCAGCATTTTGTCTCAATGCGGGCCTTGTGTTCCGTAAGTTTAAACTATCCCATACATTCTAGTCGATACTGTGTATATCATTATTGTATTCGGGGGTTGGGACCTAAGTGAAGTATTAAAATGGACCGTTGCGATACCAGAGCATTCGTAATGGACTATTTTAATCAAGCGTTTGTGTTACACGTTTTGATTGACCTCCTGGAGGATTCGTAGATCTTCGTAATACAATGTCCTCTTTAATAACAACGTTGGTATCGTGGCCTAACGAAGGAACACTGTGTTTTCTTGTATGTTGCACCTAGCGGCTTGCATGGGGTTGGAGGTTTTTGTTCATATCTACTAGTTTTCTGTGGGGTGTTCCTGAGTCGAAACAATGTGCTGTCAACTTGAAAGGTGTATTGGGTGTATGATTTGTGATGATGTGCCTCTTAATTAAACCTGCTGCCCACGTGTATAGAAGATAGCATCCGTTTTTCTGTGCATTCAATACTTTAGAGCTAGCTGCCCTATATCGTTATACTCATGATTTCAACAAATCACAGAATCATTAAAACATTGTCCGATATAACCGAAATTTGTCTTATTTTTAAGTCAGAGATCTTATTTTCTGTTCTTCCGTTAGAGTAACATTATCTTTGAAAATTGCATGCTCGTATCTGACACACCAATGTAGTGCCATTTGCATATTATACAAAAACTGAGCAATTCTTTTCTGATATGCCTGCGTGACGGATTTTTGCCCTCGTTGTTAATGGACTGCCATAGGATCTGTTCTATGGCTTGTGTAATCAGCGCATCCTTACAACGGAGGAGCCAGTTTGAACAAGCTTTGAATAACGTTTCGCTTTTAGTGGACTTAACCAGATCAGTTTTTTTTATCTTCATATATACATGAATATATGGACTGACAAATTATGAAGTACAAGACTGTCTCAATGACATCGGTGTCCTTATCGTGCTGGACTGGCTTCTTATAAGTCATATTCAATATGGAACAAGACAAAAGCTCCTACGCAAAGCGTATTACTCGTTACTTTATAAGTCTGTTGGAAAAGCTCTTTCTGATTAAAAAGCATCCGGGGTCTACTTACCAGAAGTGATTAAGATGTATGCTGTTGCCTTAGGTAAGATCCCAACCCACACATATTCAAGCGTGGCTCGAACGGTACACGTTAGTTCACTTCAAAATCTCTTATTTCTGTGGTAGCTTAGTGCATAACGTATTTGCCTGCTAATCTCAGGAACACGCTATGGTCTAGATCCGTATCCAGACATAGACACACGGTTCGTTCCGCGCTGGGAGCCAGCCGTACAGTGAAATGGCTAACTGCAATACTGGACGTAAAACTCACAGAGACTTAAAAATAAAACGTAATCTTCGTATACACGATATCATACAATACGAAAAGTAGAATAACGAAACTCGATAACACATATACATATTCATCATAAGTTCACTCACAAGCAACGGTGGAACTCAGCCATCATACGACATGGCTCGGTAGATTACGCTGTACATCCAGCCAGAACAAATGATAGACTTACAGTTGAACTCTAACTGGAATTGAAACAGAAATGGCAAATTAGGAAAATAACAGTAATGAATGAATAATATTGCAAGATGCAGATGACAGTTATAGGAATATGTTCATTGCACTCTTTTACGATAATATAGTCACCGCATAGATTAATCAGAGTTATATAAATGATTATAAATAATATGTAAATGAGGCGGAGTTCTCTCTATTTATTGTTGCCTTGTTGAAACGGTTTGTGAATGCACATGTATATAGTAGTTTTGTCATGTACAGTTTATATTTTAATAAGTGCTTACTAAAGCAGCTCCTGAAATAAAGCTTCAACATGTGTGCTTTATGAGATGAATAACGCATGGTAACATATGATCCAGGCCTCCCTGCCGATTTGCGCTAATAGGTATTATGTTTTTGGCGTTTTACCGAACAACCAATATAAGTATAGGTGCTCGTAATACTTGCAGTTTAACTTCATCCAGAGAAAACCACCACTTGTATTATCGTAATAGTAGGTACTCTTCATAACGGCTGGAGAAGACTTCAACGCCGATCGGGGCACATTAACATAGAAATTCTATTCGAAATATATAGATAGACAGGCGCATATCAACAGATAATTAGTTAAGCACAACTAACTTTTTGTCATTGATCATTGTTCTGAACAATTTTTGGCGACTATGGTGCCATTATTGTAAAATGAGAGCAGTGAAAATCAGTATATTGGCTGTATACGTTTATTATTAGGTTGTTTAGATCTGATTATTTCGATATAAATAGCTGTTGTCTAGCCAACTCCTAGCTTGGTCCGACGGCAAGCTGATTCGTCTCTAGCCGTAAACCTACGTTCTTAACGACAACTTTATTTGATTGCATGCAGCACATAATTTGTATTATAAAAGCAATGCTAAGTTATGACGTAGGATCTAGGGCTTGTACACACGCACAGCTACTTTGACATACTACATTCGACATAGGCTAATAGACATGGCGAGTTTGGAAACGATCGACGCACTTGACATTTATATTATATACCTCAACGAACAGGTTTGATGCTGCTGTCTTTTAAAATCGCTCACGATAGAAACGGTAAATAGAACTTTGTGTTTAAATTAGCCGAATTTGCTAACGCTAATTACGACTCGTGAAACAAACATGTCGTTCTATCTGCCCATATTAAGTTACAGTTTTACTCTTCGAATTACATGCATTATTACTGAGCCATTACGCCTCAAGTTCCTCGACCCACTCTGAATGCTTAATTGTATTAGGTATATATTCAGTATGATTAGATATATATGTACAGTTCTCAAAAACGTACAAAAACGCTTGCGATACGAAATTACGCATAATCGCTTATCATATATACTTAGGTTTTTTTTTATCAGGGCTTCACTCAAAATCGGAAATTCTTAAATTATCTTTTGCTCAAACCTAGACTGATTTAAATAAACTACCAAATCTAGTCATTTAGGACTTTTAATTTTCGATGCAACGCGCTGCCGGAGAGATGTCACAAGACGTTTACAAAACGCAATAGCATATGATTAATTTCTCGAATAATAGTCGAACTCAATATTACAACATTAGACATACATTCTACGGAGGAGAACTGAAAAAAGCACGTTTTTTTTCCCGTACAAGAACGTTCATTCTGTTTTGCATCGTATTAGAAACTTGAAATCCTACCAAACTTCGCGATCTTAACAAATAACACACCTTGCTTTGGCTAACCTATATAAATATCAGTGATTTAAGCACAAATTAGGAATTTTAAATGTCGTGCTTCTGCCTCTGACGGGCTTGAACATTCCCGCTTCTGTGTCTGAGATATCAAAACAAGCAGAATCAGAAACCTAGAAATCGAATATTATAACGTTTGCACAGACCGTATTCACTCATAACTCTGACTCTAATAGTTACGACCACATTAAATATAAAACGCACATCCATTGCCGCAGATAACAGCGGCGGACATTGTTTAGAATGCTACCGGCCCGATTTTATAGAGAAAATTATATGATCTCATAGGGATTCTATTTTTTCTTAAAATTTAATCCGCCAATTTCACAGATGTGAAGGTGCACCTTCCTAATATCGTTAGTCCCGTATTACTGTTACTAATAACCGTTCCGGTTATCATTGTCGTCCGTTTGCACAACCGCCTCGAAATGCCTTTAATAAACAGAAACAACTCACGACTTGAACGGAGCACCATAATTATCCTATTGTATGTTTTTTTTTTACGTTATTGAGCTTATCTCAATTTAACGCGCTCTTATGTCGACGCCCTTCAGAAGTAGTTTGAACCCAAACACAACTGAAAAAGCAGCATGTGCTTCTTATAGCACCTGTGCAAGTACACGCAGTTCATTCAGATAACGCCGACGGTTTTGAAACGTGCGCGTCTTAATATACTCCAGCCAGTGGTAAAACAAGCTCCCATAACTGTCAGAAACCCTAACAACTACGACAGCTCTAGAGATTTAATATGAAAATAAACATGGCACAATTATTGGGTGATCACACAACATTATTACTAAGACGGCCTAAAGGTGAAAGAAGCTGCGCAAGTCTGGGTAAGTAGACAAATACTCAGTTATGAAAAATGAGTCTAGATGATCGCTGCTGGAGCACCTCTATGACTAAAAAGCTTAATAAGGCGCTTAGTAACAGACGAATGATCAGTGAAGCATTAACCGTAAAACTTCAGGACAGTGCCCGCCAGAGATTCTGTCACGTACAAGTTGTTCCCCTAACTGCTTAAGATTTTTTTTACAGGAAAAAAAGTAAATGCGTTGCCTGTTTCTCCCAGCAAAGCACCGCACTGGACCCCCAACGGCTTCCACATGGCTGTTTTTTTGGAGTCGGTTGGCTATGCAAACGTTTTAACATAGTTTGTAAGCAAGAAAGAGAAGCTGTTCTCTCGAGTGCGTTGCACCCCTTCAGCTGCACCAAAAGCTCAGATGAGCAAAGCTTACAAAACGCGCAAAACTTACGCGTTTATCAAAAAATCACTTTATAAAGTAGAGCTATAAGCTACCCTGAAATTCTATGGCTCTATGGTACCGTAGAACCGCAATTAAACTCAGACGGGTCGTGGAACACCACAATTCCGTAGGAAACGCAAATGCGCTTATCTCATGAATCGATAGATCGTCTAATTAGTTTCAGGCTTCAAGAGTCAGAAACCTTATCACCTGTTAGTAGGAAAACAAAGCGCATTGTTTCGTCCCGCTGAGCGCATTTAAACAACTTCTGCCGTACCGGCCTGCAGGATAATATTTCCGATAATTGTTATCACTAGCTATGTCTAGACAAAACGCTGCTTCTGTAGTCGGAATCTTAGAATACCTTATCTCACATTGTGATTAACAAAAAAGCGTAAAAAATGATAATGATAGTAATAACAACAACAAGAACAACGATACCAAATTATTGTATAATTAGTATCCCGCTTCAAGTGCATGTCAACTTGGAAAAAATCGTGCGGTAACCGAAACTACTCTTTTCAGCACACCGGATGATTCAGACTACGTAGTTTATCCTCAAATCAGTCATTTGCTTGCAATTAAAACCACACCCACACAATAGAGTAACCATTAAGCAATAAAAAAATAATTAATTCTCATAACTGGCTTGTCCATTATGAGCAAAAATGTACAAGAGAGCGAAATAGATAAATGCGTACTCTAAATATCAATCATCTAATGTCAACCAAGATTGTGAGATAACGAAAAGAAATACCTTCGATGCTAAATGTAAGTCCCTTCTAATTGAGCAATATCTAGCAATTATACTGACACTTTACACCGAAGCCGCGGAAAACAATTATTAAGCGTTAGATTGATAAATTCGCAGACTTGAAACGGAGTTTTAAATTTTGTCTTACATTTACTACTATCACTTCAGTAAAGTAAGTAGAAGTTGTAAAGCGATTTACAATATTTGTTCTGGATTATTAGCTCATAATAAGCGTCTAAAGTTGTTTTTTTTTTTATTAGTGAAGAACAACAGCAAACAATTCTCATGAATGCAAAAGCTTCTGTAGCGCTGTGTGCAGCTATTCTGTGCGGCTTCTGCGCCTGGCGAGTAACCCAAGTTCATGATGCACACCCTACAACTGAGGAGCGCGCAATCAGCCTACTACGCTTTATGAGAAGCCTTAATCAGGATACTAAAGTGTCCGAGGAAGAACTTGAGGTAATTTAGGGTATATTTTTTCAAAACCGAGCGGGTAACTATCCGCCTGCTCTTACAAAACTGTAATGCATGGCATGTAACTATAATACAACAATTAGAGCAAGATTAAGAATGCCTGGCAAAATTGAAAACAAAAAAATTCTTCAATTAACGAAGTGATGCTAACTAAAAATGTCGAAATACAGACATGTGCTCCATTTATTTTATTCAGTCGTGCAAACGATCCGAATGGTGCCTAGTAGCACGATTTTGAATATATATCAATATTGTTATAGAGCAGCAGACTAAATGCCCTTAAGCTGATGGTAGAAGGGCTTCGAAGCAACGAGAGAGTTCTCTAAGATATATTCAAGATCGCGCTTCGGAAGTGCAGCTTACTAACTTATTCTGAAATCTCAGATGGTACTGTGTTCGGGAATATAAGTATCAAGTTTTCGATCGTACTGCTTAGAAGTACCTTCGTGCTTAGATCGTAGCGGTTTATTGTGAAAAAGTATGTAAAAAAAAAAAACAGGCTGAAGGGATGGACACAATTACGCATTCTGTGCATGAAGTTAACATTGTCGTTTTACTGTTTTAATCTCAGAATGCAATTAATGCTTCGTTAGCGTGTATTAGACGGGAGATTACGAAGATTTGTCCCGTCAAACTTAACAACACGCTTCATCATTTTGATCTAATACAAGAATGCGGAGGATCTACCAAACGCCTGCTGGAATTAGACCACTATACTGATAGCTGTGTGAAGCACTTTCCAGATGCACCTAAAGAAGTCGACGTGGAAGAGGTAGGTCTCTGGAGCCTGTGCAGAATATTATTACTATAGCTTAGATTTCAATTGTTTCGTCATGTTCTTATATCCGTAAAGGCAAGTGCAGGACAAACTCTTAAGTATAAGAACGATATGGAGTCTTGTAGCATAGCTGATGTGTACGAATGTGCCCTAAATCTCGTTGTATTGATTCCTTCCATTTTGGCTCACTGTAGTACCTTATCTATCATTTTTATTTCCAGCTTGCCAAGATGTTTGAGAGATGCCTTCCGAGTGATGTGTTTTCTTCGGTCTGGACAGACGTTCAGATACCAAATCCAAGCGAAATAAGTGAGAAGGATAGTGATGTTGGCGAACTCTTAAGTTAAGCTAAGTGGTTTGTCATGGGATTTTTTGCAACAACGGAATATTTTGATAAAATCAGTAGCCACTTGTTTCGGCTTTAAAATGCAAACACAATTAACTGTAGTAGCTAATACTACGTCAAAAATAAACAAAAACTAAATTTGCAATATAGTTGTAGCTTTACGAGAACAATCGGATACAGGAGTGGAGGAGTCTGTAAAACCATTGTTCTGGTTATTATATATACATAGGTACCTCGTTGTGGTAGCGGTCGATTGTCCTAGGGCTGCTATGCGATTACAACACTGGCACTATTCACCAGCGGTCCTACGTATCTATCAGTATCTTGCCGGCTCTGAAAGATAGTGTCGTTCATCTGAATCTGAAGCGAAGGTCCGTCCAGCGCCAGGTGAATCCTAACCAGATTACATTAGCGTTAAGATGTGTAAGAGAAGAAGAAAAAAAAGTGTGACATTGAATGATTGCTATCAACGTCGAAAGCGTACGTAAAAGCAAATAGTTGACGCAGAAGCGATTGAGAACAAAGACCCTTAAATCATAGTAAGAAGGTACAGAAAAGGCAGGCATTATTGCCGATGAAGTATCCGTTTATTGCGTAATGCATTTATTTTTGAAAATTATATATCAGTGAATTTTACGTGAACCGACTGCAATACCATATAGCTGCAGAAATGTACGTATACTTTCGTCTAGAACTTTTCTGTGCGTAAGAGCGTTCATAATGTATTGCTTACAAAGCTTGTTTGTGAAACACGAGGAAACCGATGAGCCTTTCGGGAAGAAGTCTTTGACTATGTGCATTACACCAGTAAATGGTGGCATCAAACGAACGAACATGATTGACTAGATTGATTGATGAATGATTAGTCATCAAACAACCGAAGGCTTGGAAATCGTTAAAAAAGTAATAAATGGATAATAAACGGGATTTTAAATGTAGAATTTTTTAGAGAAAGGTAAGGAGGTAAATTAGACGTCTACTGATCACAGGTGTGTGCAATGGCAAGCTTGTTCATTATAAAGGAATCATATGGTATTTACCGAAAGTCAAAACTAACTATATGGCTTACCGACCATCTCAACACCTTTTGGTAAGGTCTTTCCACGCTAAGCTTATGATACCTTAAATGTTTCAACAACTATTACATATTTTTATCATATTCTAGCACAGTAAAACTTTCAACTTGCCTCTGCCGAATGATTTTTTAAATTCTTAATTGGGTCATTTCTGGGTTTATAGCTTCGTTTTTAGTTTAGGTGAGTAATTGACTAATTGGGTAATTCCATTTCAAGCAATAATTCGGCTCTCGTAATACAGTAGAATTACGCACTGTTAATGCGAATGTGCTGCGAGTGTATGTTCGCGCACGCAGTATTGCTGCTATTGGTGGACCAGATACTAAAGTCTGTGGTGCGTGAGCCACTACTTTTTGTAGCAATATTTATTAAATGTTCGTCGTAAATAGACAAAAAAAGTCGTTCTTGTAACGACATCTATCAATTAAAGGAAACTATTTATAAAGCAATTTCGGCTAAGGGAAAATTTGGGCAGCTTGTTTATAGAAGTTTGTATTCGTCACTATTATATTGTCGCACATTATAACTTTCAGAATCACATATCTACGATGATGCTCTTTGTCCTTTGTATGAGTCTTAAGGTCAAAGCACTAGCTCTGCTGGAGTCAGTTCGAAAGTTGGACGCACCGTCGACACATTACAAACTTACTTGAAATTATAGCGTAGAAAGGAGATCCTTGGCCAAAAAAAGATCGACATGAAAACATAGGCTAAAAAATTTACGTGGCAAACAGTTTAGGACAAGCATAAGCGGCGATATCAGGTCAAAATCGAGTGTTAACATGACAAGCAATAGTGCAAAGGTAACATCACACGAAAATACGAAACTTTTGACTTGAACATAACACCCACACAGAACTGGTTCAAAATGTACAACAAAGAGTAACTGTAAAAGCATGGGACTTTACATGCTGAGCCAATTCATTCCATGGCGTACTGGCAATCGTCTGTGTAAGCGTTTGCATAGTCAATAGTAGTGGCTACTGAAACAGACTTATTTGGACTGTACATACTCGCATTGTCATTTTACAAAAAACTAGGATAACTGCCACAGTCACTAGCCAAGTCCTTAATTTCATTTCAAACCGACATCCTAGTTCATGAAAGTTCAGCATGTACAAGCACGTTTGACTACCAGAAACGTCACGACATTTTCCAGGCATCGTCGAAATATTCTGCTTTTATTAAAAATAAAACGTGGGGTGAATAAAATGCATTTTTTATTCATTGTTTTAATAACTAACTAGAATGTCTAAAGACTGATCTTCTGATTAGATACCATTGTAATTCACCTATGCTGGATGTTATTTAACTCTGAAAAAACTCAGTGATGTCCTTGGTAATGTCCCGCAAAATATTCCGTAAAAAGGTCGTCCTTGACGGCTGAACAGGAAGTTGAGACTATTTCTAACCATTCGTATATAACGTACATCATCAATAGCTGCCATAATACAAACGTCGATCTTATGCCCTAAAATACCAATAGTTGTCCGAGATTACAGGACGGCATGGACGAGGATGGGATCGCCAATGTCAACGATAGAAGTGAACCAGGGTGAATCACAATCATAGAAAATCCCATAACAAAATACTGTTAAAACGCTGGTATTGAAACGTAGATTGCGTTAATTTAAGAAGATTATTCTTAATGAAGAAAATGTTACTGTCTCCCTACCAGGGCTTGTCCAAACTCCAGGCACTTAGATACAGAAAGCGATTACTCGGGGCTAGCAAATCTTTAAGAAGTCATCAATAGGCAGAGGCGGACAGCGCCGTCGAAAACATGGTTAAGGAATTAATGAAACAGAATATGGGTCTATTTGTAGAGATTGTGAATGAGATATGGATGGCATAATCTTTCTTCACAGAGTAGAAGCATGCAAACCTTATTTGCTGCCCAAACCCTGTAAGAACATAGATGACCCGTCAGCCTACCGGCCGATGTGTTTACGCGATTGATAAGATTGCAGTATGATATTGTTATCTGATTGCTTAAAGATAATGACACCGAACATCTCAGACGAGTGTATGAAGAGAAGGTCGACAACAGGTGCCGCCTTAGCGGTGCTGAAAGCGCCCAACTTGATATATAGCGAGGTCATAATGAAAGGACAACATAAGAAGCCCTAACAACAAAGGGCCATCGCGAGTTTTTAAAAAGTACGCGGTAGACGGTACAGGGTCACACCACATATCGTTTCTCAAGAAGCGTCCCTCAAGGCTTAGTGTTCGACTCTCTTCTTTGGAATATAGGGTTTGATGGCATCATGCAGCCGGACCATCTAGACTCAGCCAAGTTCGTTGGCGTTTAAGACACTGAAAAACTTCAGTGTGAACAGTACCTATGACACAGTCAACTCTTGAATTAACGACCGTGATTTTGAATTAGTCTCGGAAAAGACGGAGTTCACGGTTCCTAACGAGCGTAAAGAAAGCTGGCGACGTAAACGTAAGTCTAGATTTCCATATGATTCTACGAAAGAACACCATCTGAATATAATCGTAGGTAATAATTTAAACGGAGAGGCACATGTTGAATATATATATATATATATATGTATATATATATATATATATATTATAACAAAGCCTTTCAAGTGACTAACAATGCATATCTTTCCCAACGCAAACGGCCCGACAAACGAATATAGATGTACCCTAGCATCAGTGGTGAATTTAATTGCTCTTTACGGAGCACCCACGTGGTCGGGTCGCTTTTTAAGATAAGACCCTACAAAATTTACGATAAAAGTAAGTAAAATATTTAGAACGATTTTTTACGATGAAGCAGCGGTGACCCCGCGGCTACAGTACGCTATATTAGTATGTATAGACTCGTGTAAGTGTCACCCAAATGTACATTGCACTACAGGAGGGCAGGTTAGTGATACAAACGGGAGGAACCTACACAAAGCGACGCAGAAAAAGAGTCAACATAATGCCTCTAAAGCCCCGCAGCGCTGATAGAGTGCTTCAAAGGTATATTCAGGGCGACCAATACGATCCCACAAATAGTGACGAATCGCTAATGCATAGTGTGAATCTATGATGCGCGGAAAGCTGGGAGCTGAGTTGTCCGTTTATGGGGTTCTGGACTCCTTCGAACAACTCCAATCGAACACGACAGATTGACCAAGCCAGATTCGCAATAGGCACCTGAAAAACGCGTATGGCCTATTTCCATGTTGAGCAAGTCTATTCAAGGCCTGTTCATGGCATGGACGCAGACCGGCAAGTTGGTATGAAAATACACCGAGCGTCATGCCCCAAAAGAGCAACTCGCTGGGCCCATCCTGAAGCCGAATAAAGAAGAATACGAGTGAAAAAGCGTGGTGATCTTATGACGCGTAAGCTAACGGAACTCCCGAAAGCTTCTCACATGTTCTGACCGAACAGTATCGGTTTCGCAGAGGATGCGTTATTCTTACTGCAGATAATATACTGCTTCAAAAGTTACGCCGTGTCTGTCGCCTACTAAACCATACGCTTTTCATTGCGTTCGTGAATTTGTAAATCGGAATTTGATATGACTCCCAGAGTCAAAGTTTTATTAAAGTTTACCGAATGCGGAGTTCCACAGAACACACTGAATTTAATCAGAGTATTAATTTTAGGCAAAGGTTTAGTAGAAGTCGTTCATTTGATCAAGTGGCGTTGCACGGGGTCATAGCTAAAGCCCTCGGCTGTCCTATCTTTTGCTGAAAGATTTACCACCCTGCGTTCAATTTTCGGCGGAATATGTAAGTGCGTTCCTGTCGGCCTACAGTTTCATCGTTTTGGAAGCAATCGGCTTTATGCCTAGCAAGCTCTCATTGTTGAAAGAGGCTGGATTGCTGCTAAGTTTGGACAACACAGAGATCATGAAGTTCTGCCATGGAGGCAGTCGCGCTGCTTCCGTTACGCTTCACATAGATAGAACGATCCTGATCTACATGAATGCTTCAGGTACCTGGGAATGACCCCTCAAAGAAACATCGAAAACAAAGTGCAACGAGCGATGGTTGTGAGCGTGGGACGGAGCTTCAAAATTTTCTTGCGCAAGGTGCACCGTTTGTTCGGAATAGAGATAACCTCAATTATTTTTTTGGAACCCAACTTATCTAGGATCACTTCTGGTTGAGGCAGCTCGAAAGACGTGTCAAACCATTGGCCTTAGAGCGCGCTATGGTCTTACACCGTTTGTATATGTGTACCGTTTAGATGACGCGCCGCTGTTTGTAGAAAATCTGAGGCTTAAACTCAAGTTCTGTATTATTCTACCTATTCGAAGTTAATCAGTGAAGAAGGATGGCGGAGATCAAGCCTGACCTTTACAGTACGAAGGCTTTGACCAATGAGGCCTGAAGAGAATCGGACGGAATGAATCGGCACATTGTTACATCTTGCAATAAATGGGTTTCATTATAGGATTATACGTAGGACAAAAAGTTTCCATTTGTTAGGGGCTCTGTGTGTCTGCATCAGATGTGGTGCAATATACTTTACGTACCATGCGCCGTCATGCGTGCAGCACCATCTTTGGGTAGTCCCGTTCATCATGGGCAGATCATAAAATTAAAAATTCTCCACTTCATATACTCATCTAATATAATTGAATTTTTCTAAATATGAATCAACTATCTAGTATTTTTTTCTGGAACAATAAGCGTCCAGACCAATAAAGTCGAAAGGAACAATGAAGAAAAAACGAAAATATTTGACACATGAATTTCCTTTTACCATTGTCAGCCATAAGCTTTCCGTGGGTACTCGACATAGCGACATTTGCTTTAGCTTAATGAATTTATATATATATATATACTACAGGACATCATTCCCAAGCAAAAACTGAAAGTTGATTATTAAGCCTCTACCGGTTGGATACCCAAAAAGCCTACCTCATTAACTCTAATTTATGCGTAAAGATCTCGAGATTTATCCTCCGTATATGATTCTGAAAAGGGAATTTGAAACGGGATTATGATATCAGACTGTATATATGTTACACGCAAAATATGTGCTATTAACACCTACACTCAACTTAAAATACTTTCGCACGGATATTGCATTAGTAATGTAGAAATTCTACGTGCTAGTAATATTCGGCACAATTAGCATGATACAAAAAATAACAAAGGAAATTAAAAATAAATAAATACATATAGGCGAATTGTGCACAGTTAAGCAAAAGCATTAACTACATGTGAAAAAAATGATAGTATAAAATGCATATTTATTGATACTATGGTTAATGTGTGGGTAATGTTAATGACTAGTCTTCAAAAATGTCCCTGACTAAGGTTAACAAGTACAACTATATGCCTACATTTGTAGGTGGATTTAGCCATAGGTTGCTACTTTAAAAAAATCCTTCGTATGCCTAAAAGACGTATTTCACCAATTAAAGATAACAAAATTTTGGAATCTGCTAAAAAGGAAGATTTCGGCTAAAAAGTGGGATTCCTGCGCAACATAGGTTTGTTCGCATTTTATTTCCGACCATAGGTTTCTGACTTTATAGACCCAGATATGTAATACAACGTATATCTTGCATGTTTTATACGGCTTCCAACGATCGTAGTTTGAATAATGTAATAAAACATAGAACACATTTTAAATTTTTACGGTCCTACTGAATTATGGCATATGTTGTTTCACTAAATACTGAGGAAGCAATTATTAGTAGAAAAAAATTCAATACATCGCGATGATTTACCATTGCCACTTAGAACTGGATTGAGATTATCTGCTTACCACATTTGGATTAATATGTACCTGAATTAACCAATTTTTTTAGCGTATTGTTCACATCTTCTTGTGGCTAATTATTTTTCCACCTGTACAGCATTGATTCATAAATATATAAAAAAAAAAAGACGCAATGTGCTCCGAAATAGTCTAATTTATGGATTGTAAAATGTTTTGTTGATATAACGCCGCAAATCCATGGTTAGGTTAAGCATATCATGAACCTAGTTATTGTTCATAAAATTAGTAAAAATCTGTTAGAAGACCGAAACAATTAAATATCGATCAAACCAATTATCATCATGGTAGTGGAATAGTTTTGAAACGGCGACTCAGACGCTGGCTCGTCCAACAGTGAAGATTTCCTTACGCGCAAATAACTTGGCAGTAGTGGGTAGAACTCGAAAGTCGGGCTACAGTTGCGCGAACATGGGCCCTTAATTTTGCATAATTCGACTATACTGTCTAAAGCCGGTATCCGCAAAGAGACTATTCTAGTTAGAAAATGCTGTCTGAAAACATCATCCTGTAGTTAGAACAACTATATACCTTGAGCTAGAATTTGACCGCGCAATTCGAAAGACGAATATAAGTGTCACTTGTAATTTTCTATGGACAGCTGAAAGTTGAATTACGCCATATCGGCAATTAACTTGTATGATGCTCATTCCGGAATAAAAAAATCTGTATGATTTATGTGGCCCGTATTAGTTCATGCGTGCATATTTTTAAAGAACCACTCGTAGTCCCAACAATTCCCCGCCAGTTTCGTTGTGCTATTATTATCCTATGCTATTTATTACATAAAGGCCATAATATCCAGTTTTACTTTTTAGTCAAACAGCTTGTGTGATATATATTATACATCGCAAAGAAGTGCTTCAGCTTGCACATGATCCAGCACAAATGTTGGTGCAGTATTAATCATGTCTTTTCGTTACTATATAATTACATGCCCAACATGGCAATCTTTTTTCCACTAGTCGGCGTTGTTTTCATCATTGCCAGTATTTATGCTTCTCTTGAATACATTGTCTGATGGATGTGCCAGTATATTTACCATTTTAATTTTTAAATTTGCCGCCCGGAAATGCGACGCAGACGGTGCTCAGTAATCGCCCGCCTTAAAGATAACCCGCTAGGCGTCGATTTTGTTTGCCCGACGATGAGCGCATAAGCCGCCCTCTCCGGCTCTGGTATCTCCATTGTGAAATTGAAACAGTCATCGTTAAAGTACAAATGCTAAAAGAAGGAGCCAGCAAACGAGAAACAAAAACCAGCTACTCATTACAGTAGTATAAGCAGAATAATCCTGACCATAATAATCATAATAAGAATCATTTATGAGCACTACCCCTACTATAATTGTAGGTTCAACGTGTTTTTACAAAAGAGGGTGTGCGGTGCGAAAACGAAACACATTACGAAAGAACTAGTAGTATCATGACGTACTGTTGATTGCTTGGTGTTCGCTGTTAATTTTGTTTGCCAATTCTATTCATGATTCAATGTGTACATAAGCATTTGCCGGGTTAAACTTTTCCGCCTCGACCGGACTCCGAAATTCAGTTTCACATTTATTCCTTCGTCTATATGTGTGCTCACCTAATATTGCTCGCCCGATAGAAACGCTAGATCTAGCCTCAGCAATAACATCGGTACGGATTCATCGGATAGGAGACAACAGTACGGTTTAAAATTTGAGTCGCCGTCCTTGCCGTGGTTCTGTCGTCTGTTTATGCGGCACTACCCTATCGTGTGCTACGCTGGCGTCTACGCACCGAGAGCGTGTTATTTACATGTGTACGAACAACCTAGATCAAAGGGACATAAGCTAATCTTTTTGTTGCAATAAAGAACCGAACTGTAGCGGCCGCCTGGTCGCTTGTCTACACAGTCGTAGACGACGATCGCAAAAAATAGAAGAAAAACAGGAGAAGGGGCAAGACGACAACAACGCCGACGGCGAGGAGGAGGAGGAAGAGTGTGTGTTATGGCTACGATAAGTTGTTGTTGTTGTCGCCACCGCAGCAGCATTGTGTTGTTGTTGTCTTTGTCGTCGTCGATGCTTCTGCTGACGGTGGAAGTGACTGTGCTGGCACCGAATTGTACGTCCCTGTAGCTGCGAAACATCGAATTTCTCGTCATCGTATTTTCGTGCTGGATCGTCGTGGTGTCGTTGGTGCGATATCATCGTGATAGCACCGTTATTGTTAGTTTTGTTTTTGACCAAGTGGTATGCCGTGGATCCCGCAGCTGTTCAACGTGCGAACGAAAGTTGGGAACCAGGCGTCTAGGCAAACAAACATCACGAGCAACAGACAGGCAAGTAGTTGAGCGAACTACAACCAGCAGCAGTGAAACTGTCAATAACAAAACAGTGAATCTCATATCGTCGCAGCGGAAGCAGCGGCCGCGATAAAGGTCGCCTTCGAAATCGTCGCTTTGGTAACAGTTCGGGACTGGCCGTTCCTCCGTTCATTGTCGGCGGAATAACAAAACCACTCGTGGTATTTGTCGTAGTTGCAGTAGTAGTTGCAGCTGTCGTGATTGCAGCCGAAGCTGCGTCCGAGTGGTCGAACGAGGGAGTAAGAAATCAGTTCAGATCAATAATTTGCTGGGCGCTGCTGAGCCGTCGGGGAGAAATAAAGCTAATAACAACAATAGGAGGAGGAGGAGGGGGCGGCGGAGGAAAAGAGTGCGTGTGTGTGTGTGTCTATGAGTGGGCGAGTGAGTGAGTGCTCCCGCTGCAACGCTCGGTCGTCCGGTCGACGCAAGAAGAGCTGTGGTAATAGCGCCAGTAGCAACAGCCATTTCGTGAGCGAATGCTGCTGATAGTGGTACTCGTCGTCGTAATAATATATCCATATGAGAAATGACTGCGTGTCGCGTTAATGCATAGAAGACAAAAATCAATATCAAAAACAACGACGACGCAAACCTGTCCATGTATTTCCCTGGTGGAGAAGTTTTTTACGGCGACCGATGTTGATGCTCGTTACCATCAAGAACTCCCGTTGCGAGCTGGCTGTGACGCATGCAACCGCGTGTGCACACTCAGACAGATGCCTGCATACCATTTCAGCATCGTGTTAACGATAACAACGTTACCGACGGCGACGACGATCAATAACAGTGAATGATATACCACTACTGCTACTGGCAGTGGTAACAGCAGCAGCAAAACAAGCGACGGCTAACGAACATAAAACGGGTCCCAAAACGGTTCATTTGTCAAAATAAAATAAAGACGAAGGAAAAAAGAGGGCTGCCGTTGTTGCCGAGCTGTCACTCGGTTCCGCCCGTTCATCACTCCGGCGCTGTGGACGTAAATGCTCCTCAGTGCGTGTCCGCGTGTATTTGTACGTGTGCCTGTACGTAGTCAACAACACCACTAACATCGGTAGCGGCACAATCCGTCAAAACAGCAGCAGAAGCGATTAATTAGTGAATAACTGGTGATTAATGAGTAGTGGTAGTGGTAGTCATTCTAGTGTGGAGTGGAGGAATGAAGCTTAATGAGGTGCATACTCATTGCTCTGTCTCTTTCAGTCGTGTTTGTGTCTAAGCAGAAGTGTCTCCCGTTGTTGCCGGCCTGCAGGTGTAACGTATGCGAACCACGAACGCCGCTATCAACGTACTTTGGTGGCGTCAATTCAGTATTGCTGTAATACGTGGGTCAAATCGGTGCGACAACAGCAGCCTCAGGTGCGCTGCTTGGATTTACATCGATTAGACCAATAATAACAACAATATAAATTCACGATTATCACTTGGATACATTATACACTCTTTTTTGTTCACGCTGTTCTCTCCATTCGTCTTTGTGCCTGTGTGTTCTAGTGGGGTGATTGTTGTGCGGGTGTATTATTGTTGTTGTTGGCGTGCCGGCTTAGTACGTCATCCGTCGCAGACTCTGGAAAGTTTCCCTTTACCCGAGGAAAACCGCCCCCCGACAGAGGTAAGAGTTAGAGGAAAACAACAGCGGTCGAATAAACCTGAGATTGAAAATAGAATACATGTTTTCCTTTGGATGTTGCTTTACCGAAATACTGCCGAAAAATACATAGTCAGCAAACAGCACAAAAAAACGATGTTATGATGACTCGATTAACAGACGAGAACGGTAATAATAAAGAGCGAAAAGGATCCATTTGAGAGAATTGTTCTTCTTGCTCTCTCTCTCTCTCTCTCTCTCTCTAACCCTATCTCTATTTTGTTTTCGTTTTCTATTCATACAATGTCACATGAAGAAGGTCCTAGAGACGTTTGTTGTCTGACCAAGTGGATGCTCGATTGCTGGCTTAGTGACGCCGGGTCAGAGATCAAGAAGTAGAGTAAACTAGGCAACAAATGGACCAGCGGGCTTAGTGAATCCGGTGAATCTTTTCATTCTGGTTGCTTTACTCAGTGGTAGTCACTCATCAGTTTGTTTTATACATCTAGCCGTTTCGTGTCGTAGCTCAGTAACGCCGCCCTAGTAGCGGGTATTACAGTCGCATTATTACGAAAACAGATCAAAACAATAATTACAACGAACTACCAATATTTGTTTGGTCTACTATTGCCCCGGTTTAGCAAGTTCCAATACGTTAGTATTGGATCTTTGTGATAAGCATCAGTTGTTACTATTACACATATTAGCATGTCGCTTGTTTCTGCCCGTTGGGACTCACAAAACTATTATATAGGGACCTGCGTCAAAGTCGCCAAGAGTGGTACTTTTCGCACCAGTGGCCTTTTAACGGCAACCGAGCAACCACTACTGGAAACTAATTTGATGATCTGGGATCGCGATATGTTTCATGACGCTAATTATATGGAAGTATATATTGGAATCAAGATATTTCTGAAGGATATTTCCTTTAGTGTAATTGTCATTTCCGTGATTTCGGGTCTCAACTCGAAGCCTAAGCCGGTCACACACGACTACATGATTATACATGATGATGAAAACTTAACTCTCCAAACTCGCGAAACTAACTTTAATAGTAAGCTTGAATGAAGTCGCACTGGTACGCGTAGACCCTTTGAGGCGTCGTTTAAACGCGCCAAGCAAAAAAAACTTATTGGTTCAATTGTTGGGTCGACTGTAGGCTAAGGCTCATCTTGAAAAAAGCCTTTAAAAATCGGAAAAATCCGTAATTGCCACCGTTCCTTCGACGAATTTCCAGAGCTTTTTAAACTAATGCCTGTTACGGATGCGTCATATGAAGGTATGAAACTCGTTCTTGGATTCATCAGAAGCGGTATAATGATCAACAACGACACAGACCGTCAGCCTTACAAGTTTATGATATCGCTGGGAGTCACTGGGCAAAAATTGATTTTCGGTCATATTCGAAAAACGACAGTGAGCTTGTAGAATTGTCCCAGACAGAACTTGTTTTTGTGTACTTAGGACCAAAAATCGGAGGTGAACAGATGCTCGCAGTGATAAACAGCTCGCCAAAAGGTATCTTAATTTGCTCCGAGCATTTCGTTGTATACGTAACCAATGTTATAATGGCTACAACTAGTACTGATCACTCATATCAGCGGTATTTTTACTAATGCAATGTAATACATGTTTATTACTTTTTCGTTTTGCTACGTGAAATAATCTTAGAGGCAATATATGTTTTACTAGTAGCAACACTGCTAATATAGCGCAATTGAGAGCACTGCTGCAGGAACAGCGGTATCAGGCCGCATACACAAAGACAAACATCCAAACAGCAGCTAACAGGCTAGAGGATGGCTGGGAGTAGATCGACCGACCGACCGGCAGGCAGAATGCTGATGCTGCTGCCATTGTCGTTGCTGCAGCCGCTGCGGTAACTCCTTCTGGCGGCGGCGCGGATGTCATGCCTTGTTGTTGCCATTGCCGCCACAACGTAGTTTTCCTCGTTGTAGAGCCACAGTAGCGCCGCCGTCGGTGCTGCGCGCCGACCGACAGCTGCTGTTGGCTGCTGCCGGCTGCCGCAGCGCCCCGCTGTGATGGTGGTGTCAGTATAGTAGTATTACGTGTGTCCCCGTAATGGCGCGGTGGTGGAGGACGTGTTTGCCTATTAAACTTAGGGAAACGTGGCTGTCTAGCTTTTAAACCGGGCTTGTACACGTTCCGTTTCATGGTGGGAGCCAGCCGTCTGAAACGGTGCTTCACTTCAGTACTGGACGTAAAACTCGAAACATTCATTTTTAATAGTATTAGGTGTAACCCCGAGGCCTCGTGGCCGTATGGCGGCGCTGCGGCTGTAGCAGTAGCGTCAGCAGCAGCAACGGTGATGTCGGCGTCATCACAGTAGTGATGGCGGTTGCGATGTGTTGTGCACGCCGGCGCTACGGCCATTGTCGCTCTGCCGGCGAAACGTAGAGACAGCAGCGACTATCGGTCAAACAATGTCAGGAAAATGAGACAAAAGGAAAGAGAAAGAGGTTTAGGTGATAATAGTGGAGCTGGAGTAGAGCGAAGTGGAATGGAATGAAAGGTTTAAATGCTTCTGGTTTTACGTCCGGTACTCCAGTAAGACGTACATAGAATTGACAAGTCTTAAATGAGGCAAGATGCCGTTGGTTACTAATACGAGGTATCCTGCAATCTGTTCGTGAACGCTCAATAAAATTAATTCGCTGGCCAGAGGGCAATAAACTTTGTGGGCATTGCTGTTTGAACTAGAGCGTTTTTAAATGGTCACGTAAAGTGCAAATATCTCTTCGAACCTGCACATAAGAGCCGTGCTGTGTGTTATTATTCTACAGTCGATTCTGATCATTAAGTCCATATTAGCTTTATGCGAATAGTCGTCACTGCCTGTTTGCACCTATATCCATAGGTATAGTTCTCTATCGTCACACGAGCCCCTCTACTATGGAAAAGTAAAGTTTGGAATGGCGTTGAAAGTCACATATGTCAGGTTTGTTTTCTCCAATCCTTATCGTTCATTTTCCTGGTTTTCTGTTAGCGGAATCCGTTTGTATTTTGATAGTGTTACTATTTTTTTCACAGTGCGCATTTTGGCATTAGACCTATCTATTACTGTCTTGTTATTCAGTAGGTCCGTTTTTAAATTTTTTTGTAATGCGGTCAATCCTAACAATATATGAAAAGCGTGCGCTAAGGCCACTTTAAGCTTATTAGGGGTAAATTCGGGTTTTATTTTCATTAAGAACAAATGAACTTGGATGACTGAGATGTTGGATAAGCTATTTGGGTCGCTCTAATCGGCGGAGTGGAAACTATGGAGATATATATATATATCTACATACCCATAATGGTGATGATAAGAACGAGGCATGTAAAGAGTTCGGTGGAAAGCTAGCAGAAAGATCTCCGTTGACGGACGTGCCACGGGCTACCGTTAGCATACGGTCGTTGACAACTGTTCGTTGCGTTGTCTCCGGCGCTAGTAGCGTTACTGCAGCTTTTAATACTGCTCGTTGCGGACGTTGTCGATAGATATTTTGAACAAGCGATGCGTTGGCAGCTAGCGTGTTGTGTGGCTGACTGGACGGTTTCATTCAGTAACTGGAAAGCTAATTATCTGATTTCCCTGACCATCAAAAGCACCAGCGCGGAAATTTCTTGTGTCGTCAAGAGCAGCGGCACGATAAACGTAATAACAGATACGCGGGTTTAATTGCCTTTTTCTGTGTTGTTGTTTCTACTATTAATACTAGTACTGCTGCTTTTGATTAACCATTCAGGGGGGTACTTTTTCTTGTTTCGATATAATATGTTGCATTTGCTTGGTTGAGGGACAATAGGACAACGCGAATTCGTGTGTTATAGTTTCTAGTTTATTTATGTCCCTTGAGAATCAGCTGCCGTCCGTACGAACTTTGCCAGCAAATCTGTGATTGATCTTTTTTTGTGCCGCGCCTACATCCGTTACTGGAAGTGTCACAGGCGCCTGTCGTTTCGCTCCGATCCCACCTCATTTGTGTCTGACTCTAGACTGTGACGTCTGTTGCCATTATGATGATTTTTTACAATCGTCGCACTCACCTTCAGATCACTTTGTGATATCGCTTGACTCTACTTATGAAAATAGATTGTGCAAACTAGCGGGTGCCGTCTTCCATCCGCGAACAATGTTGCCGACTTCACCATCTACGCCAATATTAGCATCAGTGAGCAAATGAGACAAAGAAAGGAAGGAAAAAATCTAAATTTGGGATAATAGAATGTATTGAACATGACATTTTAGAATGCTTACCCACACAATCACTTGAATAACATGCTGATGATTTTTTAAAATTGGAAGATAGGTTTGCACTCATACACATAAGAGACACACTTACTGCTCCTAGACAGAGCAAAGCGGGACGAATGAAAGAGGGCATCGTCATTTGTATACCACCTACATTTTGTATGTATTTTCGATATTCGATCAGCAACGAGAGTAGCACCAAGCAACAGTAAATGAAATATAGAGACCGTAATGCTATTTCATCATGACAACAGGTGGGAAAGGCTACCGGCGTATTTCTGACAACCGCTTTATAACTTGCGTGACGACGTTGCGAAACAAGACCGTGCATGAAATCATCAATAATGCAGATCCGTTTTATTGTTCGCTCTTTGCTGATAAAAAAATACTAAAGAACGAGCAAGCGCGCGGACGTCATGACCTGTATCTGTTATTTCCCACAAGAACTTACGTGGCCAGATTCACATCCAGTTCGACGAAAGGGGTAAAACAAAATTTCAGGCAAAAGGTTCGTATAGGGATCGCATTGAAACTTGAGTTGCAAATTGTTGACGTGGAGAATAACAACTTTGACGTAAGTAAACTTCTAGTTGACAAAAGTTTAATTCCCAGTTAGAATAGGTGGGAAACCGATTGGAAATTAGATTTTGTTGTAGCCCATACAATAAGATTTACTACAATTATTACTAAATTATTAACACTAAAAAAATCATGAAGCAAAAGCTAATATGTTTAAATACACAGTTTGTCGAATATATTAGTAAGTCCT